TTTGTTTGCTCCAAAAATCTTCCACTTTTTTAAATGTTACAAAATTTTGCTGCTTAAAGATGTCATTCTTCTCTTAAAGTAGTCTTCCTTATCTGCGTATTCTGTGTAAAGTAACCCCTTTGTGTCGGTGTGTGCGCCCCCAAGTGTCCAACTGTGGTATCACGATCATCCTTTCACGCATTGTAAGATAAAAGATGTCTGTTTTCATTCACAAACTTTGGGCCAATAGATGTAGAATTTTTGTTTTTTTATTTTCTATTTGAATGATGTAATAATGGATAGAGTGGAGTGTGTAAAAAGGGGACACTCTGAAATCAGGCACCAGCAAAATATATGCAATAATTATGAGACAATAACACTACAATACTACCTTAAATAGTTATTATATCGTTCGGATTTAACACGGTACGAGTTTGGACTGCGAATTCACTTTTTTAGCCTTAAAAATGTCAAGTCACAGCAGCAGTGAATTCACAAAATAGTAAAAATGGGTGAAGAATATTTGTCAATTATGTCAGTTTTTTTGTTAGTTTTTTTTTCAAATCTGGAAGAAGATGGTAACTACTCATGGATTTTAGACTAATGAAAAAATTATACTCAATTTTACCTGCTATGATTGGTAGAAAGTCCTCAAAATGGCGCGCATAAGAAGACAAAGAAAATCATGAGGCACAGAATTAAACAAACAAAACAAAAAAATCTATAATAAATATTCTTTTCTGATTTCTGTTCTATTGGGCTGCACAAAATGAAAATTCAAATACAATACTATAATTTTACTTAATTTTACTTATTTGACTGCAATTATTTAAACTTGGAGTAATGAAAAATAAAGAACTAAATCTTTTAATTGGTCGAAAGTCCTCAAAATGGCGCCCATACCAAGATACTGAAGCCAGCATTTTATTTTAATTAAATTTTGGAACAAAAATAACTTGGAGTAATGAAAATTAAAGACTAAATGTTATCTTTTGATTGGTCAAAAGTCCTCAAAATGGCGCCCATACCAAGACAATAAAGCCAGCTTTTTATTTTATTGAATTACAGAGCAAAATCTTTTCCAACTATTCAAACTTGGAGTAATGAAAAATTAGGACTAAATCTTCTGATTGGTTGAAAATCCTCAAAATGATTCCTAGACACTGTAACCAGCCTTTTATTTTATTTTAATCTCAGAACAAAATCTTTTCCAACTATTCAAGCTTGGAGTAATGAAAAATCAGTATCTTTTGATTGGTCGAAAGTCCTCAGCGGCGCCCATACCAAGACATAAAAATAATAATTTAAAACTTTTCCCAATAATAAAAACTTTTCCCAACTTAGAGTTAATGAAAAATGAAAATGAAATGAAAAATAAATAAATGTTATCTTCTAATTGGTCGAAAGTCCTCAAAATGGCGCCTATGCTAAGACAACAAAGCCAGCTTTTTATTTTATTTTATTTTATTTTAATCTCAGAACAAAAACTTTTTCCAACTATTCAAACTTGCAGTAAAGAAAACTAAAACTAAATGTTATCTTTTGATTGGTCGAAAGTCCTCAAAATGGCACCCATACCAAGACAATGAATTTTTTTTTTAATTACAGAACTAACACTTTCCTAAAAAAAATAAATAAATAAATGAATTGAGGTAATTACAGAGATATTAGGTTATATGATGCTACAGTTTGATTCAATATGACGCCTTTCTTCGTGAATTCACTGCTGCTGTTTAAATGTAATATTTACTGACAGTGCAAATGATCGAACTTTAATTATCAGCTATTCCAGTGGTGCTACCTGAGTCTCCCTTTCCCCTTGTCTATTGCATGATGTTTTTACAGTGCTGCTTTGGTGACAGACGGACAGAAACAAGACGAGAAAGCACAACGATGTAGATTACGATTATTAATATTCCTATGTATTTATGTGCAAAGATAAGCTGAACTCTTGTGGTGGAATTTATTTTTCTTATAACTGTTTCGTGTTGGTTCTGCTGAAGAGGACTTTGGATCTGAAGAGAGTCCGGACACTTCCTGTTGACGCACCCTGTGAGCGCGAGAGTGAGAGAGTGAGTGCGTGAATGAGTGAATGGGTTTGGGGGGGGAATAAAGGTGTAAATATTGGTGACAGGTCATGGGAAGGTCAGAGGTGAAAGGTCATGGTGCACTGTACAAACTCTTTGTGAAATGTGTCTGATGTTTTGGATTAACACAATAAAATATGCAGTTACTTTACGATGGGGCTTTGTTTCTCTATGATTCATCTCATTTATTAAAAGTAGGGCTGGGCAAAAATTTAAAAAAATTAATCACGATTAATCACATGAATTCGAGCGATTAATCGCATGTTATACGCAAAACCAATTAATGAATTAAAAAGTAGAGTATAGCTGCACTTTTATTGGAAATGTAAATGAAAGAGCCACACATTTGTTGTGCAAACAGTATTTCTTTCACAGGGGAATCCTCAGAGCCTTCAAGGTGTTCTGAAGGCTCAAGAAAAAATATTGAATGGACTTTTGTACTACTAATATATTTATTGAATATTTTTTATGCCGTGAGAAATGAACACGACACTAGTAATAATTTCTAGATCAGTGTTATAAACTTGGACTGATATTTCTTGGGAAACAAAGGGTTAATATAATGGAATGGAAATGGACCAATCACAGTTTTTCTTCCAGTGGTATCTGGGTAAATCAGTGACTCCAGCACTGAACTAAAGAAACAAGCTCAGCTCAGGCTGGTCCGGCTGGAGCCGGAGCCCGCGGCCAGGGCCGCGACTCGCGGAGGCTCAGACACGTTGCATCTCACGTGGTCAGAAAAAAGTGTAAAGAAAAGACTTCAAACTTAAAGAAATGCTCGCGGTGAACTTTTTCAAAATAAAAGCCAGTGAAAAAGAGACATTTACAATAAAATAAATAAATAAATAATAAAAACTGCGTTAATGGCGTTAAAATAATTGTAGACGTTAATGACTTAAGTAGTTAACGCAAAGTTAACGCGTTAACGTGTCCAGCCCTAAAAAAATGACTGTATAAAGGAGTGACTTAAGGCTGCCACACACTACAGGATTTTTCGGTCTTGAACGACTTTTAAACCTGCGATAAAATCTTATGAGACTTAAAATGTCTGATCGCAAAGACTGCAGCTGTTTCCTGTCTACAGTAAAACCACTCGCTTTAAGTGTTCAAAATATCAGAGCGCTGCACTTCTAGTTTAGATACAAGTCAAAACTGTGTTGTTATTATTTGTGAAATGTGTTGCAAAGCGTCAGATACATGATTTTTAAAGCATGAAAAGTTGGTGATAAAGTCCACATGAAGTAGAGTCTCTGTCACTCATCTGCAGCTTCACCTCGACTCTCGCGCTGTGTGGATATCAAGGCTAAGTTCAGACTGCAGGGATTTTTTTTGTGAAATCCGATGTTTTTGTGAGGTCATTCACATTTCCAATTAAATGCGACTTCACTTGCAAGGACCACACCAAGGACAACATAGTGCGAAAGAAGTTTATTGATGATGTACGAGGGGCGGAGATGGCCGGGTTGAGACTCTAGGTGGGGGCTCCGTCTCAATCTGCAATTGGCCCAGCCGGAACGGGACCCCCCTCGTAGGCGTCTTATGGTTGAAAGACAAACAAGATAGAGGGTGGAAGGGTGGGGTCGAGTGAGCTGAGACAAACTGGGATGATGGGAAATGCTGCTACATGTCAGCTTCCGGGAAATTAGAGGCATGGTCGAAGTGAGCTGTGGTTTGCAGGTGAGGAGGAGAGGGCGGTCGGGCCGTGGTCCTGCTCCTGAGTCTTAGTTAATCGTATTAACTCCATTTGTATGTGATCTCCAGTGTGAACGTTAAACAGCCCAAAAGTGTCCCGCATGTGCACTGGAGACACGACGACGTCAACCGCAGCGAGCGTCTCTGTGTTTACGGAAGTTGTCCAAACATGGACGCAGCATTGAGCACCTGGAGATTTTAAAGTTCCTCTCGTACCGGAGCCAGAACATGAACAACTTACTTGTTTTAAAGAGGAGATTGAGAAGGAGAAGGACGAGGTTTTTGGCCGTGGCGTTTTGTGAGGCAGCCTGCTGAAAGGAACGTGTGGATGCGGAGACGTAGCCAAGAGTGTTGGGATAGCGATGTGCTTCATTTCAGTGACATGGAGTTCCTTAACAATTTTTGTATGACGAGAAGAACGTTTGTGTACATTTGTGGCTTGTTGATAACGTGTAGGTGGATGAATGCGCTTTGGCCATTCAGACTGAAGTCGCATGTCAAAAGATCAGATATGTATCAGTTTCAGGAGCACATATCCAAGTGGCCTGGGTCGCATTTGAAAAAATCGGATCTGTGTGGTTCAGACTGTCATTAAAAGATCAGATACAGGTCACATAGGCTGCAGTGTGAACGTAGTCAAAGACACACATGAGGAACTACTCTCACCTTTTTACTTTCAAAGAACGTCTCAAATTGGGTTCACAGTGCAGTTTTGTGTACAGACGAGGGCTGGATATCATTAAGAAGTTGCCGATACAATACATACCTCGATACATAGGCCACGATACAATACATACCTCAATACAATGAGCTTTAGATTCGATATGATTTACTTCAAATTGATTCAAAATGGTTAAATAAAAACAATGACTAAATCATGGCTGTGATACTAAAAGTCTTTGTTAAACCACTTCTTGTGCAAAGTGAATATGAAACACAAACATTTTAATCATCAAAACAGTGAAAATGTCAAATGTGTCAAAATAATTTAGTAAAATACACCAAAAAATACCATTGGCGATATATCAATACAGCAGCCCATGATATCGATATTGTATCACCACATTAAACGATTCGATATATCAATATTTCGATATTTCTGCACACCCCTTGTACATACACATACTTTGTGTTTGTATGAAAAAGTTTAATTTTTCAAAGCTCAGAAACTTAACAACAAAAACTTAACAAAATCATTCATGTATAATAATAAATGTTCTGTTAAAAGACACCAGCACGCTCTGTGATAATAAATAAAGATTTATTGAATATATTTGTAGACTGTATATCTGTGGTACATGTAGTAAACAGCATTTGTCACATAAACACAAACATCTCAGTGGTTCTTATTGGACTGCTTCAAGTCAGTGGCTCTTATTAGTGTTAAAACGAAGTGCTTCTCGGCGAATGGAAGAGACGCTTTATTAGGTCTGGAGCTATCCCAGCATGCATTGCGGTATATTGCGGGAAAACTTTGGTTAAAATCGAGCGAGTTTTACAAAAGCAACCACAATCTGAGTTCATAATAATATTCATAGTAACTGTACATCATTGAAATACTGAGCACGTAACTTACATTCAACAGTCACCCAGATTCTCTCAGTCACTAAAACCTTCTGCACTTCCACTGAAATACCTTCATCTGAACAGAGAACACTGAACAGGAGCCAAAGCCAGCGGGGGGGATCTTACATTGTGGTTGTGGAGTTTGTGGATAGCAGAGTACTGTAAAAAATAAGTTTGCATAATAGATACAACATGAGCAGTGGCGGAACGTAACAAAGTAAAAGTACTGTATTTAGAGGTGCATTCTGTAACGTTTCTGATAGAGGGTCCGTCAAATGATTAAAAGTTACATAGTGCGCCTTTAAGTATAAATTTGAGGTATCTGGAGTTTTCTTAAAGTGGATGTTTTACTTTCACTTGACTATATTTGAGAGCAAGTATCTGTACTTTCTACTCCACTGCATTTTAAACTAGATTGAAAAGTAAAAGTATTTTTTTCATTATTGTTTGAGACCAGCTGAAAAGCACGTTCATACTTCGAGAAAACAAAAATATACAAATAATAGAAACTGCTAGGAAAAAATGAATGAAACAAATCAATTGTTTCAGTTGAACAAAATCCAACTCAAATCTTATCAAAATCAGTACATTTGAACATTTGAGACTCAAACTCTGTGCAAAATACTTCTACTTTTTAATACTTTTAATTACCTTTTTCATGTGATATTTTTACTTCACTATTTTTGCTCCATTATCTGTACTTTTACTTAAGAAAATTGAGTACTCCTTCCACCACGGAACATGGTCAGTACTGCCTTTCCATGTTATTCCCACTCACTATAATTACCTCATTACATTACAAGTGTCCGCATTTGATATTAAAAATCCAGTTTACAATATTTCACCTGTAATTCCAATTTACTGTAAAATATAATACCAGTAGCTGACTTCTTTCGTCACAGTGCAAAACTTAAAACACTATTCTGAACAGGCCTGTCACGATAACAGTTTTTTAAGAGTGAAAAATTGCTGAAGTAAATATAGACGATAAACGATAATACTGAAACTAATTTATGCCACTGAAACATTAACAATAAAGTAGATTTAAACCACAAAAACTGCTCTGAATCTACAACATGAGCTACAATAAATAAACAGCAGAATGAAACACTGTAAGGAGTTATTAATTCAACTTTTACAGCTTAAATCTTAACGTATCGAAAAAAATATACAAAAATTTCCCAGCTGTATGAAAAAAAAGCATCCACGTTAAATACAGACCCCCAAAAATACCGTCTCAGCTTTCATATTACTTATTAGAACTTTAAGTCGATACAGTAATTATCGTGACAGATCCAACTTTGAACCATATAAGAATGCGGTCTGAGTTGGTTTTGAAATCAGATTTAATTCAGTGAGGTCCATTTGGTCTTGTGATAATAATTCTTTTATCAGACCATTTTTCTTATAATGAGTGAGAAATTTGAAGTGCGAGTGGTCACGTGATGTTTCTGTGACGTGTTTTTTTAGCTGATTTAATCACGTTTTCCCCACTGGACGATAAACCGAGACGAAGGGCCTTTTTACTCTCGCACATCTGGGATACTGTCCTGCAGAGGCCGGACTGCAGATGGCGCTCTACAGGTAGGAAGACCGCACCAAAATTTGTGTAAACATGTCCAGTGTTGGCGAGTAACAGATTACATGTACCAGAGTTACGTAATCAGAGTACAAATTATGAGTAACTGTATTCAGTTACAATTACTTTGTTGAAATTAATGGATTACACGGTATTTTTCTGTTTTCACATTTTGGGCTATATCTAAACTAGGTCTAAACCAGGTCTAAACCAGGACTAAAACCAGGTCTAAACTAGAGATAAACTAGATCTAAACCAGGTCTAAAACCAGACTAAACGCAGACTAAAACAGGATATAACAGGACTAAATCATGCTGCTTGAACGTGTCTCTTCCTCTTCTAGCAATAATATTTTAATTTGGTTCAGTAAAGTCTGGGCTTTTTATTGTCTTTTAGCAGATAAAACATCTTATGTTACAATATCCTCTCTAGTCTTTGCTTCTCTACTACAATTCAAGTAATCCAAAGTATTCAGATTACAGTTACTCACTTTAAGTAATTTAATGGATTACGTTACAAACTACATTTTGGGCTATATAATCTGTAATCTGTAGGGGAATACATTTTAAAAGTAACACTCCCAACACTAAACATGTCACAGCAACGTCACATGACCACTCTAAAGAAAACTGAGTGACTTGGAATAGGCCTGTCACAATAATTACTACATCATTTTATCGTTCAATATTTGAAAGATGGAACTATAATTTTTGTGGCTCAGTATTTATCACTTATAATTTTTTTTCGCAAAAGTGGCAAGATTTTTCTCATTTTTGTTTTAATAAGAAAGTATTTGAGCTGTAGAGGGTTGAATAAGTCAGTCTTACAGCTAATTGGTTGATTCTAGGGATGTAACGATATATAAATCTCTCAGTACGATATTATCACGATGTGCATCTCACGGTACGATATTTTGAAGAGGCTGATATAATTGTAGATGGGACTCTTTTGAAGCTTTTAAAATACCTTGACAAGATTTTGGTGTGAATTATTTCCGTCATAATGCCAAGAATTCAAGTCTAAAACATATTTCTTCATGTTGTCTGTGATGAAATGAATCATGGGATATGTAGTTCCCAAAGTTTATAAGCCGTTGCTACTGTAAAACCTTGTAATTCGATTTATTGTGACAGCCCATGATATTATTTAAGACTTTTGACGATACGATATCACGATATTTCCGTTATTGTTACATCCCTAGTTGATTTACTATAGGGTGCACTCAAAAGCCTCCAACCCCATCAAAAAACGACCGCGCGTCCCACAATCCAGAGCGCCCTATACAATAATCCTCTCGGGTGTCCCAGCACGACTTCAGTAAACTACAAAGCCGCATCATCCGCAGCGCACGCAAACACGCACGGAGCAGAAAAACACCCGCAGACGCACTCATCACTCCAAGCCGACGAGGAACGGAATGGAGGAACGAACCGAAGAAGCGAGCGCAATGTGCCGCTTCTAGACACAACTGACCAACTGAGTCACTGCGAACACGCCGACAATCCAGTGGCCCCAGACAGCACCCTCCCTACACGCCACAACTGAACAAAGCCCAGAGTCACCGTGAACGCCACAAACAAACAAAACCACTGACCCATCCAACTGTTGTGTTTTGTTTAAAGTCTGGTGCGGTTTATTTGTGAAAAAAGTTTGAAAATAGACCATTTAATGAGAGTGCGCCCTATAGTGTAGAAAATACGGTATTTATTTGTTGCAGCAGGCCTTTAAATGATACTGTAAATTTTTTAAACGGTTTACTGGGATTATCTTGCTTCATTTTAATCTTAATCAGTGGCATAAAGTAGTTTCAATTTGAACATTTATTGCAATATTTTTCTGTAGCGACATACCTGAACGAAATGAGGTCAAATAAAATCCATAGAATTACATTTAGTTCAGATTTGGGCCAAATTCTCTGATGTGCCATGTGTCATTTTCAACATACATTTTTTAAAGTCAGTCTACATTCATATTGCTACCATCATTGATTCAAAATTTACATTAACAGTCACTAAAGCAATTTTGACTATCCACAAGTCCCACGGCCAACCGCAGTAACAACCCCCCCCAACTGTTACTTCAAAAATCCAGACATCTCTTAATCTAATTCTCCCATATTAAATGAAAAAGTTCACAGCTATTTCTCCATTGACTGTATAGAAACTGTATACATAAAAATATCTTGATTCACGTCTGAATAAATGCCTCAGAGTCTACAGTTTTTAAATATTTGATTTTGTCTATTGCTAAAATCTTCCACAAGTTCAACTTCACGTTGGCCACAACAACAAGCAGTAAAAAACTAAGAATTCTGATTAAATTGAACCTGAAAAAGGGACTAGACCTGGAACACTGAGATGCCGTTAGTTTCACAATCAGAACCAATACGATGCCAGGAGAAAAAAAAAATATAAAGAAATCTAGTGGCTTTGTTTTAAAGCGTTGGAAAGAGACTACCAAATGAAACAAAAAGAAAACAATAAGAAGGTTTACATTTTTCTTTGAGCAAAATGCATAACAGTTATTTCAAGGGGAGTAGTAGACTGGAAACAAATGATTTTTATGCAATCTTAAAGGTCCTATATTACGCAAAATTGACTCTTGTTAACTAAGACAAGTTATAATGTTGTTACTTCATCAAAAACATACCTGGAGTTGTGTTTTGTTTCATTCGCATTCAAGTGTTTCAACTAAATTTGCAGGATTTGTGTGTTAAACATGTGTGAATGAAACAAAACAAGACTCCAGGAATGTTTTTACGAAGAAATAATATTATAACAGATCCAAAAATAGCATGATATGACATATTCATGCAAGATTCTTTTTTTCCATAATGAGTAATCTGTGAACTGAAAGTACGAAGTGGCTTTAGGGTTTTAAAATAAAAACGGTTTAAAAACATAAAAGTAGTCTCATTCCAACGCTGCAAAATTAACATTTACTATTGCATCAGAAAACGTATAAAAACAACAAATAAGTCACTAAAAATTAAACCATCCACAAACTAAATAATACATTCATTTAGACTGTAAAACTACTCCTTCAGTTATAGTCCTTGATATAAATAAATAGATTTGTGCAAATGTCCTCAGCAGAAAGTTATTGTAAATATGTGAGTTTAAATATAGACCAGTGTTAGAGACATGCACAATAACAGTCTATGGCTTCTCCTCTTCAACAGTCTCCATGGTGATGGTAAAATTCCCACAAAATCTGATCAGATCCGGTTAAATTTGAAGTTCGTTTTGCGTGCGAGGTCGCAAAGGGATCGGTTTGTTATTCGCTCGAGAAAGAGCAGCTCCTAGTGGTGGAGCTGGTAACTGCAGGTTAGGCTATGTCCAGGGAGTTACTAGTATTTTAGCTCTAAATTAATTCACAGTGATTAGCTCTATATTTTATTATTCTAATGACTATCAATTTAAAGATTCATAAAAAAACGTTAAGTCAAAACATAATTCATGATTTCAGAATTCGCCCTACTCCTTGTCGCTTACTGAAAACGGATAAATGGGAATTAAGTACAATTTAAAAGTACAAATATTGTGGAAGATTGATTAAAAAAATAAGATAATACAGTAACGAAAATTGTTTATCTATTGCTTTACAAAGTGGACATAGCCTTAAGAGAATCCAGATTATTCCAGGTTGTTTGTGGTGCATTTCCAGGTTTTCCAGGACTTCCCTTCGGCGTTTGCAGTAAATTATTCTGGAAGACGTCTGCCTCGGATCCACCGGCTCCTCATGGGTTTGTTGTTTTAAGAAGAATGGCTGCTCCTACACGGTTTGTTATTGCATCCAAACTGTTGCAGCGGAAACGAAATACGCGATAAGGATATTTCAACTCTAAACGTGTCATAGATTCTGGATCCAGCTTTGTTCAAACAGTAAGAAATGATAAAAGTCTCAGAGCAGTTAAACTTCCCTTTGCTCGTCCTCAGTTTGCGGAGACGTCAGAAGAGAAGACTGCGCCGATGTGAGGGGCTGATCTGACCCACTGGAAAGACGAAACAAAGAGACATTATTATATTTTCACAGACCTTGAGAAACTACTGATACCCAAATACTGACACTAAAACTAGTATTTTAAAGAACAATATTATCCATTCTTGTGGCTTAAATTTCCTTTTAAACATTCTTTTGGTCACCTTGGGATTACCGTATTTTCCGCACTATAGGGCACACTTAAAAGCCTTTAATTCCATCAAAAAACTACTGCGTGCTTTATAATCCAGAGCTCCTTATATATGAATTAATTCGGGTGTCATAGTACGACTTTAGTAAACTACAAAGCCGCACCACTTGCAGCATTACGGCTCCCATAGTCAGGAGCATCAACGCCGACTTTAAACTCAAGGCTATTAGAGTTAAAGTGCAAGCTGTGTGGTAGCAGTGGATGAGAGAAGGAGAACACACATTCACCAAGACAGAGAGACAGCGCCGAGCGACTTAAGCCACGATCTGCCAACGGATCGTGGACGCCCGGGCTAAGGATCAGTATCAACTGTGGTCCGAGCTTTCACCAAAACTAGAATCATCACTGAACTGTCAGGGAACAGTAACCACACTGACTCGGATAATGACGAGAGGAATGTGGGCGTGATGGACGCCGTAATCGCCCAACTGTTTGAACAATTATGAGTTATTGTGAATACACGAACAATTTAGCGTCTCAAATTTTTTTACGCGTTACAATTGAACAAAGTTGAGAGTTATTGTGAACACGTTAAATAAAGTTTGACTGACTTATCTAACTGTTGTGCTTTGTTTAATGCGCTTATAGTCAGGTGCGGTTTATATGTGAAAAAAGTTTGAAAATAGACCATTCAATGACAGTGCGCCTTATAATCCAGAGCGCCCTATAGTGCGGAAAATACGGTAGTATTTCACATTTTCTAAATAAAAATAATGTCTACATTTGGAAAACATACTTTATAAAATACATCTCTGGCAGCATGAATGCTAAAGTGTTTGTTAAAAGTGTTTGATAATTTAAACAAGCATCAGTGAAGCAAAATACAATTATTATATTTTCACAGTCCTTGAGAAAACTATTAATACCCAGATACTAAGTGACACTAAAACTAGTATTTTAAAGATCAATATTATCCATTCTTGTGGCTTAAATTTCCTTGTTAACATTCTTTTGTTCACCTTGGGAGTAGTACTTCAGATTTTCTAATGTAAAATAATGTCTACATTTGGAAAACACACTTTATAAAATACATCTCTGGCAACGTGAATGCTAAGTGTTTGTTGTGAACAGAATTTGTCCGTAGAATGAGTCCGTGCTGGTTTATAGGATTTAAAACCAGGGGAAGTTTTACCTGTGACGTAACAATCTGGGTAAAATGTGAACGGGGCATTTTTGAGAGCTCAGACAAGATGATTTAGGATTAATAGATCATTTAAACAAGCATCAGTGAAGCAAAATACAACTCCAGGAATGTTTTTGAGGAGGGAACAAAGTTATAATATGGTTAAAAGATCAGTTTTGCATATATGTCCTTTGAAGTTTCATTATCTCAAGTACATTTTATTTTGCTCCTCCATAAAGTGTAATGTAAAAGCAGCAGTTTGTGCATGCAGTTTACATCTAATTGTAACACTTGATCAACATTTTATCGATTAGAACCTCGAGAGTACGGCACTATATAATGTTGTGGGACGAGAGTTGATTGGCTGTGGTTGTTGGTCCAGACCTACACCACTTCCTCATCTGAAAAGGCTGTTTTAAAGCTGTGCATGTGTCCAAAAAAATATACAGGTGATTATTATTGATGTGCCAAAACATTTGTGAAACCTGGGATCAAGTTTCACAGATTTAAATACCTACTTTCTTTTTACTTTGTATTGAAAATAGCATAAGACTTGATAACTACTTGGTAACTATGATAATTACTATATGGAAAAGTGACAGGAGTTGGATTATGATGGAATTACATCTCAGTATAAATAATTATGCCTGAAATTGTAGTTTTCTGAACAGGAATATTCACAGTAAAAAGAGACACATTTGCAATCTGATTATTGCCAGTGGAACGTGAAGTGCCACTGTACCTGGATCCACTGAAGATGGCGGTCGTATCAACTCTTTCTCCAACTGGATTTCTGGGATACTGAAGATTGACGTGGCTAAAAAAAAAAAAAAAAAAAAAAGACATCAAATGAAAACAGAAAATGCACACCGAAGTTCTTGTAGTGGTCCAAATGCAAGAAACGGTAAAATAAAAATGAAAAAAAAAAAAAAAAAAAGTAAATGTATAGTACACTCTGATGGCCGAAAAGATTTTGAAAGCCAAAAGATGTAAAAACATGAACTATCCTGTGGCGGCGCATTTTGAAGATTTCAACCATCCTATATCTTCCTTAAAATATATTGGCATTGAACAGGTAAAACTGCTGGTGCTCCTGTCAAAAAGAGAGCACTTCTGGATTCACCTCACAGACCTAATTTTGACCTTAGATGCTTTTTGTGATGTGGTTAAACTATTTTTGTACTTAACAGAAAAATTTTATCTAAATATCTGTTTTTTTCTTGTTGTAGAGTGGGCTGATCTCACTGGGTGACCTCACTTTGGGACCTCGTATTCGTTGGAGGGGTATATGACTCTGCGCTCGATTATCTTCCGACTCCCACTTGTCACGTCCGAGCTTGAAGCGTATTATTATGTTTCGCATGTCGGACGCCCAGTAAATCAAATATTTGTTCAATATTGGCCTCACCACAACACCGTTTACCACACCCATAGGCAGTGACACGGATGTGGTAAGGTACTGCAGTGATACGAGTGACTGAATCTGTCCTTAAAACCAACAAGTGTCCAAACACAATGAAAACACTACATATGACAGTGGGCACAGCCATCTTGGATTCTCCCTCGGAATCCTTGCTCAATCTACTTTTTCCGCCGCTGAGGTCTGACTTGTGCCGTCCCAGGAAAAGGGTCGTGTCACACATGTCACAAGGCAACATCTGCAGAAAACCGATTCGGAAGGACAATGGAACGCAGGGTGAGCACCTGGGCTGGCAACCTTTTTGTGTGCTGTGGTCCAAAGTAGGGATGGGCATGATTAATCGATTAATCGATAATTGATCATTAAGAATTTCATCAATTGCGTTAATTTTAATCGACAAACTGAATGTAGGTTGCTGTGTGTAGCGTGACCAAACAGGGGTCTATACATGTGTCTCTCTGCACTCAGAAGGAGCGAGACACAAACAGAAACAGTCGGTCAGTCTGCAACGTACCGAAGCACAAATGCGTATCTACCGATGACTTGTACAAGAAATTCCACGCTTTCTGTTGCGTTCGTGACAAGTGTGAGTCCATGTGCACAGTTTACAAAGCAGCACATATGTTTCTGGTGTCCAGTGGGAAAAAGTTTTGTCAGGTGAGAGTCGCTCAATGTCGATGACGAGTCCCCACCTCCCTCCCCCCGTACGGTGTCCTGGTTTTGACAAACGCAAATATGGTCACACTAACCTGTATTCCACTGAGTCGTGTCTTTTAATCCGACAGAAATTGACCACATCAGCAACACAAGAGCTGTAGTTTTATCTTCGCTTAGTTTATGCAAATTAGTGATGCGGTTTTAAGTTTTGTTTCTGTGAGAGTTGCGCAAAACTGAATTAAACACATTATAATGTCAAACGGATTGATGTGGCTCTAGAGTGGTTACGGTTTATATGTCGTAAAGTTGAATTTATTTATGCAGATTAGTAGAGCAGATAATAAAAATAATGATGATAATTTTTATATAAAAACGTTAATGATTAATCGATAATCGATCGTTAATTCTTCCGACGATCGATTAAGAAAATTTCATCAAATGCCCATCCCTAGTCCAAAGAAAGAAAAGTGATCTGACAAAGGCTTATTTGCCAAAAAGTTATTTAAAAATAAAAAAGCTTTTGGACATTGGCCATCTGAGTGTGCTATGCATTTTTTCACTTTCATTAAAAAAAATACAGACACTTAACTGACCCAGAAGGAAATAAAAAAAAAGAACAAAGACAAACCTAAAACTTTCAAATACTTAAAAGGTGCACTTTGGAACTTTTCTGGCGGAGGGTCTACCATTTCATTGTCTCCATGGAAGTGTTATTCATTTGCCTGGAATGTTCCACAATGTAACTTTAAAACCTATAAATTTCCATGGAGACAACATATTCAAGCCAAGCTACAGGTCAGATCTGTTCACGGTATAAAAATAACTGTAACTGAATAAATGCAAGATAGACAGCAACAACATCTCCATGGAAACAAGCAGGTGGCGAACCCCCCAACCATAAAGTTACAGAGTGTTTTAATTATGCAGAGTATCTTTGTGAAGAGTAAACCAATTTCACATTTAGTATGGGTAGGTTATAAATAGAGTATAAAAAATGAAAAGTACATATGAATATGATTATAAATATTTCAGTGTTAACAGTTGTATGTCTCTTACTGTCAGGCAGAGTGAGCACTTTCCGCCCAAGCACGCTGAAGTACGGGTGATTCATCGCATCATCGGCCGAAATACGCTTCTTCCCCTCAAACTGCACCAACGCACAACACCAAAATATAACATGAAAATATTCACACACGTACACGGCGTTTAAAATGATCTGAAAATGGTTTAACCTAAACCAGGAGGCGTTCACTGACCTGTAGGAATTTTGACAGAAGGTCCACTCCCTCACTGCTCAGTCTGAAGAAACACAGGGAGGAGAGATGATGAGTGATTCAAATGTAGAAGTGTAGAAATGTAGTTTATTGTGATAAAAAGGGTAGGCAATAATCATTCATGGGACATTTTATATAATCGTAATAATCGCCAACAAAGAAAATTGTCATTGAATCACCAAAATATGAAGAAAAAAAGCCACTTATCCATCACAATCTCTGCTAGACTGTGGTTGTTTTCACTCATGACAAAGTGCAATGCAATTATATAAAAGTTGTTTAAACATTAGGGATGTAAACTGAAATATCGTAATATCGTATCGTCAAAGTTCTCACAATTATATCATGGACCATCACAATATATTGAATTACAAGTTTCTTTGCTTAAATTAAGAGTTATGGTGCAGCAATAGAGAAAAAAGAGAGACAGAACTACATAGACCATGATCCTTTGCTCCATTTCAGTGCAGACTACAAGAAGAAATAACAGTTCTAACACTTGTAAGTCTTTGTTCTTTGGATTAAGTCTTGTCAAGGCATTTTAAGAGGGGTTATTCCACGCCATTTCAACAAATGGCCTGTGCACTTCGATCTCAAAAACTGTTGAAAAAATTACAAAATAGTTCCTTACTATCATGTACCAACCCTGTGAAGTTTTAGTGATTTTCGATCATTACTTTAAGTTACAGCTCATTTAGTGAGGGGAGTATGTGTAAATTTACAGGTCCAAAATGCATGTCATTTTTTCTCGGCCGTGTTCACAGGTCGATATCTCCGTAAGTATCACACATACAGGGCTGAAATTTTGTAGGCTTGTGCTCCTCTACTCTGTGTTCAAATAACATCTATCGAAAGTTTAGTATCTCAACTCACCTGTCATTTTATATGAACTTAAAATGAAAAAAAAAAAAATCATTCATTTCCGTGGCCTACCATTTTTAGCCCCTTTTTAAACCTACTTGTAGGTGTTGGAGACCCTTAAATTTTTTTGAGAATCAAGATTTGTATTAGGACTGTTAAAAAAAAAAAAAAAATCACCAAATGTTGAAAATTTGAAATGTGTTATGTGAGAGGGTTCTGTTAAAAACAAGAAAACGCAACATGGTCCGATTTTCACATGTAATTTATGGCATGTGGGTAGTGATGAAAAAGACCTTTCATATGGTACCAAACATATGTATTTTATGAAGCTCCTTCAATTTTTAATTGTATCTTGAACATTCGCATTTGACACAATGACACAAGTCTACAGTGACCATGTATGACCCAGAGGGAAAAGTAGCGTATTTACATTTTTAGCTGTTTAGCCTCCACAAAATATCACAATATCGTACCGTGAGATTCATTCATACCGTGACAATATCGTATCGTGAGACTTGGATATCGTTACACCCCTATTAAACATGGAACTTAGTATTATAATTAATAAATATTAATAAATTATAATTATTCATATCCACAGTGTTGGGGAGTAACAGATTACATGTACAGAGTTACGTAATCAGAGTACAAATTATGAGTAACTGTATTCAGTTACAGTTACTGTTTCAGTGAGTGGTGATTGGATTACAGTTACTTTGTTGAAATAAATGGATTACACGGCGGTATTTTCTTGTTTTCACATTTTGGGCTATATCCCCCCCCTTTTTTTTTTTTTCTTTTTTCCGGTAATTCCACTCATTGCCGGAAACTAAACCAGGTCTAAACTAGATCTAAACCAGGTCTAAACCAGGACTAAAACCAGGACTTAAACCAGGTCTAAACTAGATATAAACCAGGACTAAACCAGGACTAAACTAGATATAAACCAGGACTAAACCATGCTGTGTGGACGTGTCTCCTTCTTCTTCTATCAATAATAGTTTTAATACGGTTCAGTAAAGTCTGGGCTTTCTATTTTCATTTAGCAGATAAAACACCTTATGTTATGATATCGTTTTTGCTTCTCTACAGCAAATCAAGTAATCCAAAGTATTCAGATTCCGTTACTCACTTTAAGTAATTTAATGGATTACGTTACAAACTACATTTTGGAGTATGTAATCTGTAATCTGTAGGGGAATACATTTTAAAAGTAACACTCCCAACACTGTATATCCATAACATTTTTTAACTGCTGACTGCATTTAACCAGTAACTGCAAAACTTTTTAAAAGAAACTACAATTGGAGGTGATTATCAAAATGTCAAAATGTATGTATGCAACACTAAAATATCTAGTATATAGTCCAGGCCAATGGAAACTGTCTAAATGCAAAATAAATTGATAACAAAAGAGGGCATTGTTATGTATCTGTGAGCAACCTACGCATGAACCTTAACCAAGACATAAATGAGACATATCCCAGGCACATTATAGCTCATTGTTTGATGGACTGTGAAGAGTCGATAATCTTTATAATCTCTTTTATCAGATTTTTAGAGATGTTCATTTTGTCACTATTGCCCAACCTTTTATATTTTTCGTTGGTAACTATAATCCCATTAAAGTATAATACGTTACATAACATTTTGGTATTTTTTTCAAAGAAGCTGGACAGTATTAAATCCTCTGTACCAGATTTGAGCAAAATTAGTCTTGCCCCAGAACAAATGTCTTATATAAGCAGCTCTTCAGGTCAAAAGCCCTCTGTGTGCTGATGGCTGAAGATGTACTGATTCACTTTTTTCAGCTCTGATACCAATATCAAGACTTTTGACTTTCTGCATCTGCCGATATCCGTTAATTAACCGATATCAGTGTAGGGACTGAGTATCAGAAGCATTTTTTCCCTCAAAAACACTGTTAACTTATTACAAATTTGATCCAGTTGTGTTATGTAATTGTTGTTTATCCTGCAAGTACCTATATAAACAGCTTTGTATGAATAAAAGTAGAAATATTATGAGATGTTTGAGGCCTACATCAGCCACTTAATAGGCGAGTTTCAGCTGAAGTCATTGTTATTAAAAGCCCGCGTTGCATGCTGGGAAATATTTTGGTCGGAGGCAAGAAACACGAAAGCGGTCAAACACAGTGCGTAACCTCACGTATTTATCCCCGATAATGGTAAATTCCTGCTGCATTATCGGATGCACAAATAGAAGCACGGAAGAAGGAAAATGTCTTTTTCGTATTCTGAGTGAAAAGAACCCCTAACGGTGAATTAAACGGCTTTCAAACATCCGCAGAGCAAACGTACAAGATCCAAGCAAACCGTGGACTCCAACAGGTTCAACAACACATCGAGACTCTTGGAGGTTTTCATCTTTTCTGCTGTGAATGGCCCAGGAGTTTCCACCAAGTCATTGTGGATATCGCCGAAGTGAATATTTGTCCAGGTAGTTGGCGATTCTGACCAGAAATTTGGTTTGGTCCAGGCTTTTGTCGGGGTTGAAAAGGGTGATTTGGCGTCCGTCAATGCTTATGACCAATTTCTGGTCAAATGGTCTTGGGTCCTCTGCCGTTAGAGTGGATAAATACCCGGGATCAATACCCTTTACGTGCTTTCTCGCTCCGTCCGTCATGTTGAATTAGTGTTTCTTGCCGCCGACCAAAATAATTCCCAGCATGCAACGCGCGCTTTTGTCAACAATGAAACTCGCCTATTGTCTACATTTTATAATAAAGAATTTTGCGTTGAAAAACAAATAAATACATAAATTTTAAAAATCAGGAAGTGTGTGTTAGCATGCTAGTTGTTGGCTTTACCGTCAAGACAAAACTTCACTTTGGTGTCTGAGAGTTGTGAAAACCGCTCATAAAAGTGCTGTGAATAATTACGATGCTTGAAATATTAAAAGTTAAAGGCGCACTGTGCAACTTTTCTAGTGGAGTCTGTCACCTGCTTGTTTCTATGGAGATGTCGATACTCTCTTGGAATGTTCCACAGTATGACATTAAACAGCTCTACCTTACATTTATTGAATTACAGGTGGTTTTATAGCTCAAAAATATGTAGAAAAACAAGCATTCTGATTATGAGCAGGGTCGCCTATCCACAGATCTGACTTGTAACTTGGTTGGTTTGGTCTCCATGAAGACAGAAAGGTTTAATGCCGTACTGTGAAACATTCTAGACAAAGCAATAACATCTCCTTGAAGAAAACACATATGACGGACCCTCCACGAGAGAAGTTACACAATCCACCTTTAAGTGAGGTATAATAAGGTTTAAATGAACTACCGGTTAGTTCTATTTTCTATTTTTTCACATTTTTAAATTCAGGTACAGCAATCTACATCTCTTTCTGTATTTTACAAAACTGCATGACCCGGTTGAGAATGAACTTGACAACACTGGTTACATAAGCAGCAGCAGCAGCAGCAGCAGTGACTGATACCTGGGCGTGTGGTTGCTGAGTCTCTCTCCTCTGTACTGTGGATAGTTATAGGCCACAAACTCCTCATTAGAGCTGATCCCAGGCCAGCTCTGCTCCGTGGGCGTCCCTGGACACAAACACAAGGACACGAGGATGAGGTCATTCAGTGCAGAGCCCAAATGAAAACTGATATGAGCCTGTCCATAGACGCTTCGGATCAGATGGCACAGGCGAGCACAGAACGAATCTCAAAGTCAGCAGCATACTGAAATGTAGCTTTGTTACATCTAGGGCTGTCATGATAATTACTATATCGACTTATGGTTCAATATATGAAAGACTGATCAACATTATTGGGGTCATTATTTATTCTGTGTACATTTCCTTTGCACTGAAAAATGTAAAACTTCTATGACTCAATATCGATGCAAACTAACTACAGAAGTGTTTTCTTCTGCTGTTTATTTATTCCAGCTCAAGTTTTTTTTCAAATGAAACAGAAAACGCACACCAAAGTTCTTGTAGAGGTGCAAATGCAAGGAACAGCAATTCAAAAGTGAAAAAAAAATGCATAGCACACTCAGCTGGCCGATGTCCAAATGCTTTTTTTTTTTTTTTTTTTTTAAATACCGTTTCGCCAAAAAGCCTTCATCAGATAATTTTTCTTGTTTTGGACCACAGTATACAAGCTCAAGTTTCAAGTTAAGTTACTGCAGATTTACAATAGTTTTAGTGGTTTAAATCTGCTCTTTGTGTCAGTGGTATAAATTTGTTTCAAAAGTAGGGCTCATCATCTGTATTTACTTAGCCTGATTCATCAGCCGGTTACACTTCGTGGAAACCGTCTGACCTCGCAGCATTAGGATTCGTTCGCTCGACAGTAGGTGGGTACTTTTTGTATTTAAACAATCGCTGCTATTTGGTCATGACATATGTAACACACCAAATCCCTTAGGAAGAAGGGCAATAACGTCTTTCCCCTTGATAAACATTCTCTTTGTTCCGGCTTAAAATCCTCGATCTTAGGAATTGTTGTCAACACAGAATGTATGGCTTCGTCTACATCCATCTCAACGCTTTGTTTACTGTTGTGTTGTACCACAAAAGGGACCCAGACAGGCGCTTGAGTTTGACGTCATGGCTTCACAGCTCTTTGCTGATTTGCCAGTGTGCGATCTACAACTTCCGGAGTTGCAAACCGTCTAATGCAGGGGTGCTCACACTTTTTCAGCATGTGAGCTACTTACAAAATGACCAAGTCAAAATGATCTGCCTAATACAAAGCCAAGCACTGAAACACTCTGTGCCCCTTTTTGGACCCTCACCCACAGTTTGAGAACCCCTTCTTTAAGAGAACTTCCTCTGGCACTTTACACAAAACTGTGAAAAAAGTGAAGGAAGATTTTTAAACCTGTTTTTTAAAGTTCCAAACTGGAGTTACATTCTTTTCTGGTTTTGCAGTGATATTTACCAGCCTCTGCACATTTACCAAACCAAACGCACATCGTGACAAACACAGATGCATTTGTGCACTTTTGTTAGACAAACTTCAGCCAAATGTGGCAGTAGGTCTGTTCTGTAGATCCGCTCTATGCTGTAGCCTGCTTTGTGCCAACACTGTAACACAAATTTAGACTGGTTTTTGCTTCACGTTTGATCTTGCTCTTCTAATCAGCCGCACTGTGGGAGGGGCTTGTGTTCGCTGTACGCAGGAAGCTGCGAGAGCGTGAAAAGGGGAGGGGCGGCGTGCTGACGTGAGGCAGATGGACAGGTAGGATGTTTAGGAAGTTGAACCTGCCCTGTGATGCACGCTGGTACACGAGGGCACACGCTGTTGCAGACGAGCCGTGCATAGGGAGCGTGTGTGTTTGTGATGTGCCGTAGAGTCTCCGTGGGTTTCAAATGAGCGCACAGGCTGCACTGAGACGCCCCACACGCTCTCGCACACCGGCAACGGCCGTAATGAAATATGATCGCACTTGCTGAGTGTCAGACTTTGACTCGATGGCATTTGGACTCTGTCTTGCCTCTCACTCAGAGACGAGTACTAAGACATTGCGATCTACCCACATGACCTTGGCGATCGACTGGTAGATCGGGATCAACGTATTGGGCACCCCTGGTCTAATGTATTCCGATTCCTGACGTAATTGCTGGAGCGAAATGAAACTGAGCAGAGGCACTAGGTGGCACCAGTATGGCTAATATTTACTTCTTCTATCACAGTTTGTTATTGTGACAGGCCTAGTTGCAGTGTAGAGTAGAATGATCATTTTATGGCAATTGGCAAATCGCAACAGCTGAAATTCCTTTATACAATATACATTCCCAGCAAGCAAAAACATCCATTCTTACTGTAAAGAATTGCCAAGCCTGTAGTGTTATATTTAGCAACAGAAGTATTAGACCTGATATAGCACAGGTTTAGATCCGGTGATACTTGGAAAGACAAGTATTATTGTAGGTGGTACTTGATGTGAAAAGTTTGAATTTATAAACGTGTTCAGAAATGCAGGGGAGTCTTGTTTTAGTCCAGGAGCTCAGTCAAAAGCAAATTACACAGAATTTTATAATAGAAATTGCAGAATTGTTTAAGTTTTTCCCTCAAATTGTTCAGTACTGGTTTATGTGATGTTAATAGATTATGTATTTTAGAGCCTCTTACAAATTACAACTACTATACAACTACAAATACTAATATGGCCTTTCTAACCCCCATCAAACACGTACTCACATATATTTGTACAGTTAAGCTTCATGGAGTGTCTTGCTCATGGACACATTGGCAGGGATCAAACCGCTAAACATATAAGTTAAGGTTCTCTTACTGGTTCCTCTTCTCATGAAAAGTATTGTTCTTCTTTTTTATTACAGTATTTTTCAGCATTGCCAGTGGTATCTGGTATTTGTCTCGATTACCGTCTCCACAGCAGTACTCTGGTTGTATTTCTTACCTAGTAGTTTGAAGATGAAGTGCAGCTCCTCCTCCACCGTGGACCCGGGGAACAGAGGTCGCCCTGTGGCCATCTCGTAGAAAATACACCCCACGCCCCTAAAACACAGGACAACGTATAAAACAACAGATGGGAAATAAATAGAGTTGTCAACAACTTGAAAGAATATCACAGGTTTAACTTTACCCTGTTGGAGTGTTAACTCTTTCCTACATTCTGATACTTTACTTATTTCAATAGTCCCTCTAGTTTCTGAATAAGAGCTATCTGAATGTAAAAAATCTGCCCCTGTTTCCCTCCGTTACCGCTTGACCGGACCCACCTTTAACATTTTTACATAGTGAATTAGGTTTCATCTAAAAATAAATAAATAAAGGAAAAGTTAATAAACATTGCAGTTGATTTCCTGTTCTAAGGGACTGACCACATGTCGATGTGAGTGGAGTAGTCGGTGCTTCCCAGCAGAATATCTGGAGGCCTGTACCACAGCGTCACCACTTCATTAGAGTAAGTTTTCGTGGGGATAGACTTCGCTCGAGCCAAACCTTAGAAAGAAGAAAAGGTGTTAATCCGGGAAGATTAGACTGAAACTGAAATATGAACTGATGCTAATAGTTTTTGTATTACATAACTGAATTACAGTCAGAATTTCACTTAAATTGCAATTTTGACTGAGTTGTGATGTATTGTGCAGCATACATTTTAACCTGTGCTTTAAATCCAGGCTCAAAACAGTTCTGGTTAGCTGTGCATATGTTTGTTTACGATATGTTTTTATTTGGCGCACTTCCCTCTTCTCTTTTAATGTTAATTTCATGATGATTATTTATGTTTTGGTTAGTTTGTTTTGTGATTTCAGTGTCTTTCTGCACTTTGAATCGCCAAAATGCGCTATACAAATAAACCTACCTTGCCTTGCCCTGCCTTTAATTCCACCTAACCACTCCCATGTATGTGTTTGTGTGTGTGAGACTACGAAGCGCTTTGTGTGTCTTGAAAATGCTACAGAAATTAAAGGTATTATTACATTTTAATTGTACAAATGTCTTACCAAAATCGGCTAGTTTGAGTTCCCCTTTGTCATTGATGAGCAGATTTTGGGGTTTTAAATCTCGGTGCAGGACTTTTCGGCGATGGCAGTAGGACAGCCCTCTGAGCAGCTGGAACAGGAAGAGCTGAAGGAGAGAATGCACGATAATTCATTTATTTCTGACAGTAAAATGAGATCAGTACAACAAAAGACGGCAGTGTATGACCTCTGAAAACTGTCAGTACTGTTTAGTCTTTGAATTGGCTTTTTCAATTCATAAAAGAGTCAGCGTAATGGAGGTGTGCAAAAAAATTACAAAAACAGACGGTACAGTCAGAGCATGTTCGGTTCAGTGTTTCATTGTTAAAATAAAAACATTTTCTTTGAAGGGTAAAACGAGCTGTCCCCCGAGAGACATGTAAGCTGTGTTGAGGCTTTGAACAATGGAGACTGTCTTTGTCTATTTAAAAAGGCTTCCGGTAAAACATGGATGGCATAAACTTGTTGTGGAATTTTGCATCCCCTGCATAATCTCAGCAAGGACACCTCCAGGTCATTGTTGACATTTCACTGTGGCATCATCCAACTATTACAGAATTTGTCCTTTTTAACATTATCATTTTCCTTGGTCAAGTCTTCTCACAGAAGCGGTATGCTCTTCTCTTTTCATTTTATCTGTCTCTCTCTCTCTTTTTAGCTCCTATTTGAACCTCCTTCTGTGGAAACATAGTCAGGCTCGAATAGCCAAAACTAACGTGCAGTGTTGAGTGTTTCAAGTTCACCGGGTCCCAGACTGATAATAAACTTCTCCTGCCTCAGACATCCAGAGTCTCTGCCGCTCTGTACAACTCTAGGACTCGTTAGGACAGAAATTATTTTCCCTAACAAAACTCATTCTGAAATTACATTAACTCCAAACTAGAGCAAGTGACATGTGTGTTTTATCATTATCAGCTCAAACCAAAAGGAAAATCCAATGTTGTCATCTTACATTGTGTTTACATACGTTCACATGTACTGTGTATTTGTCAACACTAAAATATGTTGGGCTCATGGTGATGATATCAGAACATGCCAAATTCCTTATAGTTAAAATTGAGATTGAACTTAAATTGAGTCAGAATTATATGGTATAGTCTATAGTTAATTTATCAGTAATCACTGGATCAATAAATATGAAACAAAAACGGTCACAATATTAAAATATGCCTTGTGTGTTTTTTTTTTTTTTTTTTAGTAGTAGTAGTAGTAGTTTCTTTTCTTCAGTCAATTAACATAATCATGCATCATATAACAATGACTTAATAAAACAAAACAAAAAAACCCAAAACAAACTATGTAGTTAATGCATATAAATAAAGTTATTCTGTAGACCGAAGGTGTTTAGGCTGAAGTTTAACACTTGTGCCAAACCCTATTAACATATAGAATAGGATACAAGATGGCAGAACTATTTACAGAAAACAACAAAAAAAAGTCCTCTTTGTGTTCAAATTAACTGAGGGGACATTGTTCTTATCTTATTTTTTTATGAAAGCTTTAAAAAATGATGTCATAACCCCAAAGATAAAATAGTTTTCAATCTATACAAAAAACAACACAAGTGAAAGTAAAAAAGCAGTTCTTACTTTTACATTATGAACATGAATGGTGTTTCCACAGTCGTCCAAATACTGCTTCAGATCTTTATCCTGAAAAAAAAAAAAAAAATTAAAAATCATTACAATTAAATAAGCATGTTAAGAAGTCAATTTAAAGATGCAATATGTAACTTTTCGGTTATGGGTCCTTCACCTTCTTGTTTCTATGGATATATCACATTACAGGTGAGTGCAGTATTTCGTTTCTGTGTATTTTTATACTGAAATGACAAATAAATTCTGATTCTGATTTAATTTTTTGCTCAAAAATACCTAAAAATGAAAAAAAAAAAAATCTGACTGTGAGTAGGATTGCCTCTCCACAGATCTGACCAGTAACTTGGACCTGGTTTGGTCTCCATGTTGATAGAAAGGTTTAATGCCATACTGTGAAAAAAGACAATGACATCTCTAGAAAAGTAGGTGATGAAGGTGATGGACCCTCCACATGTAAAGTTACACAACGCACCTTTAAAGAGTACTCAAATACGCTGATCTAACATGTTGGGAGTTTGCTGTGTATTTACATATAGCCACATTTGCTTTAAACTAGTTAAAATACCAGAATTAGAATGAATAGGCGAGTTTCATTGTTGACAAAAGCGCGCGTTGCATGCTGGGAATTATTTTGGTCCATGGCAACAAACACTAATTCATCATGACGGAGCGAAAAAGCACGTAAAGGGTATTGATCCCGATTATTTATCCACTCTAATGGCAGAGGACCCAAGACCATTTGACCAGAAATTGGTCATAAGCATCGACGGAGCCAAATCACCCTTTTCAACCCCTACAAAAGGTGGACCAAACCAAATTTCTGGTCTGAATCGTCAACTACTTGGAAAAATATTCACATTGACGATATCCACAATGACTTGGTGGAAACTCCTGGGCCATTCACAGCAGAAAAGTTGAAAACCACCAAGAGTCTCGATGTGTTGTTGAACTTGTTGGAGTCCACGGTTTGCTAGGATCTTCTACGTTTGCTCTGCGAATGTTTGAAAGCCGTTTAATTCACCGTTAGCGGTTCTTTTCACTCAGAATACAAAAAAGACATTTTCCGTCTTCCGTGCTTCTATTTGTGCATCCGATAATGCAGCAGGAATTTACCATTATCGGGGATAAATACGCGAGGTTACGCACTGTGTTTGACCGCTATCGTGTTTCTTGCCTCCGACCAAAATATTTCCCAGCATGCAACGCGGGCTTTTAATAACAATGACGTCAGCTGAAACTCGCCTATAAGTGAAGTCTTACCAGATACTCAAAGACGAGAGTAAGGGACTTCTGTGTGTGGATGATGTCGTGGAGTGTGACAATGTTGGCGTGTTTCAGATCCTTCAGAAGAGACACTGCAAATACATGGCAACACATAATACTGTAAAAATATAATAAAAACAACGCATACATGTTTAAAAAGTTCGGGTTATGGTTAAGAATACAATTGATCAGGCAGTACCTTCTCTAATTGCAGTGCAGGGAGCTCCTTCTTCGTGCTCCAGGCGGATTTCCTTCAGAGCCACCAGGTTTTCAGTCAGTTTACTTCGTCCTTTGTACACAGTGGCGTAAGTTCCCTGGACATATAAAAACATGAATATTTTGTGATTTGTGAATAAATTTGATCTATTTAAAAGGCCCATATTACGCTATTTTTATTTCCGATCTAGGATATAATGTTGTTGTTGTTGTTTGTTTGAGGAGTTAACAACATTATAACCTAACTTAAAACTCACAAGTGTCAATTAAATAATATAATTTCCTTACCTCTCCCAATTTGTCCAGTTTAATATAGGTTTCCAGTTTCCCAAAACCTATTTCTGACTGAAGACACAAAATAGCATGGTTAATTTAAGAAAAAGACGTAAGATATTAGTCAACAGAAATCAAATGTACCAGTGAGACTCTGCGCAGCCGCCTGCTGATTGGTTGATCAAAAATGCCCGGACCAATCATATTGAACTTCTCTAGGTAGCCATCGGGAAGACGGATATCGGCCGGAAGAGACAGGCGCTTGTTTATGTCCTAGAAAATATAGGAAATGTTATAATTTATTTAAACAGCAACTCAAATACAATAATGACAATAATGCATTCAGTATTAGCACAAAAAGTAAACAAATGTGCTTTAACTACACTGCTACTCAGAGGAAATTAATATATTGCAGCCCTATAACACCATCTCAGACCATCAAACCAGCACACAGGCACAGCTTCATACATAGTCAATGCAAGAGGAAGTGTCTTGCTGAAGGACACAACAGCTTTATCCATTTAAAGTGAGAGCTAAAATAAAAATAAATTCTGCTGGTGCTATTATACTGTGTTGTTAAAGCAGAAATATTCAGCTAAATTGACTTTTAATCATGTTATAGTCGTTTCCCCTCCTCATTTCCCCTCTCAGAGTTGTATTTGTGATTCATGCTCATTGCCGATCAACCCCACCATCGACACACACCCACTGCACTGCAATTTTATGTTCTTAATCAGTGATGTGCGTATGATTCAGCAGCATCATCCTTTTGGTGCAAATCTCTAGCGTGATGTGCAGCTATCCATCAGAGGTGCTGACAACTTCACGGTTCTTTGTTGTTTTAGATGAATATAGGCGAGTTTCATTGTTGACAAAAGCGCGCGTTGCATGCTGGGAATTATTTTGGTCGGCGGCAAGAAACACTAATTCAACATGACGGACGGAGCGAGAAAGCACGTAAAGGGTATTGATCCCGGTTATTTATCCACTCTAACGGCAGAGGACCCAAGACCATTTGACCAGAAATTGCTCATAAGCATCGACGGACGCCAAATCACCCTTTTCAACCCCGACAAAAGGTGGACCAAACCAAATTTCTGGTCTGAATCGCCAACTACTTGGACAAATATTCACATTGACGATATCCACAATGACTTGGTGGAAACTCCTGGGCCATTCACAGCAGAAAAGTTGAAAACCTCCAAGAGTCTCGATGTGTTGTTGAACTTGTTGGAGTCCACGGTTTGCTAGGATCTTCTACGTTTGCTTTGCGAATGTTTGAAAGTCATTTAATTCGCCGTTAGCGGTTCTTTTCACTCGGAATATGAAAAAGACATTTTCCTTCTTCCGTGTTTCTATTTGTGCATCCGATAATGCAGCAGGAATTTACCATTACCAGGGATAAATACGCGAGGTTACGCACTGTGTTTGACCGCTATCGTGTTTCTTGCCTCCGACCAAAATATTTCCCAGCATGCAACGCGGGCTTTTAATAACAATGACGTCAGCTGAAACTCGCCCATAGCGTTATAAAATGTGTAAATCCTAACGTAATGACCCACAGATTCATAGATTATAACTAAATAAAGCAGACACAAGTAGAAACGGTCTTGTTTAAGTGTGTTTGTAACTCTCTTTACAGTTAAAGAGAATAGTCTATTTTTGCTAGTAATTTAATCAGGGTATTCCCAGGTTTGACTACCGCAAATTTAAGACCTTTTTAAGACCACTTAAATGAAAATTAAGACCAACATCGCACCCATTATGCAAGCGAAAAACACCAGATCCAATTGTAATAATGAGCAACCAGCGATGTACTATATCTAGAATCTAAGAGCCACTGTGGATTAAACCTGCACTTCCCCACGATCCATCCAACGTCGTCCTCCACTCTACTAACTGTTTACTCATTGCCGCCGGCACCAGAAACGAAAATATTGTTTGCGCATACTCCAAATTATTCACATTGGTTTTTTTTTCCCTCCCTCCATTTAACATTGCACTGCAGCCGAGTTGAGCTGAGTATACAAAAAATAGGCTAATGAAATTTAAGACCTTTTCAAAACTTTTAAGACCCCGCGGCTACTCTGTGAATGGATTCATTATCAACGATTAACTCATATTTTTTTTACATTTCTGATAAAATGTTGGTGTGTTTTGCACGTGTACCTCTCTGGAGATCTTCTTATTCCTGAGGCGCACTCGGACTGGACTCTGCTGAACCTCGTCAGCAGAAGACACCGGCTCACTCTCTCCATCAGAGCTCATCTTCACATCCTCGTGGACAATTTCTGCACAAACAAGTTAGCCACAGTAAATTATATTAGATTATGTTTTTAATTTTTATTTTATATTTGATTCAACACACTGCAGTTTGTTGGAAGAGAAAGAAGTGTTGACTGCTAAATCAGAGGTCTATTTAAAGGTCCTGTATTACGCAAAATTGAATTGAATATACCCGTAGTTGTGTTTCTTTTCATTCACACATTTGTGTAACCTTTTATTATTTGTCCGTCTACATCTCAAAAGCTCAAAATACTCTCTTCCAACTCGTGATGTCATGAAGTGGTAGCTTTCATGTAAACAGCTACATTTTACCTTTTGTTTTGTAGAGATTGGCAACTCTAGGGCTGAAATTGTCCAAATGATTCTACTGAAAACGTATGGACTTTAAAAACACAGTGGAGCACTTTCTGTATTACCACTTGACATAAATAACAAGATGGAACAGAGTGTTTTATGTTTGAGAGAAGAACTCGGCCTAAATGTGCAAGATTTTTGTGTTAAAGAATGAAACAAAACACAACTCCAGGTCTGTTTTTGATGAGGAAACAACATTATAACAGATCAGAAAATAGCGTAATTTAAATCATTAAATAAAATCAATTTATAGTTGTTAAATCCTCCTCAAAATGTTGATATATGTGTTTTTTCATTGTGTTTTGTTTGTATCCAAATGTAAGGTGTAGTTTTGTTTATTTGTTTGATTTTTGGCTAGCTTTATCTCTCAGTTGGTAAAGAAGTAGTAATATCTAATCTTGTTGTGTCATTTTACATTCATTCTTGTCTGTAATAGTCGTATCATGTTATACCGAGCCGTGTGGTGTGGTTGAGGTAGGAGCTCAGACTTCTCCCCAGTCCTCTCGGCCTCCTCAGAGAGCTGCTGTACGACTGAAGCAGAGCCTGCACCTTCCCACCTGAGGAGCTGGCCCCGCCCCCTCCACTGCCACGCCCCTTCACACCTGAGGACGAGCTGGCTCCGCCCCCTCTCACACCCAAGGAGGACCGCATTGAGCCCACCTCTGGGACCCACACAGGTGAGGGACAGGTGAGGGCAGGGGTAAAAGAACAAGTGTGTGTGGGGGGGGAGGCAATGATTGGTTGATTTGGAAGAAAAGAAAGGAAAGGGAAAAACAAAGGTTAATTGATTGACAGCTGAACGGACAAATCAAAATGTCCGATCCAAACAACCAATCAGTTTAAAGACAGGGAATCGTGCAGCATGCATAACTCATAAATGTATCTGGAGAAATGGATTTAAACTACTCTGAAGAGTTCTGAAGAATGAACGATTTTTACTATACGCACACGTTCCAAATTTACATCAGTATTTTGTACAAGTTGCCAGTTAATGCAAGCCACTTGTAATCTACAAAATGTGTTAAAAAATGAATGTATAATTGAGTAACTTTTTTTTTTAAATTGAAACCCCACTGCATACATTTTTATCCCAAAAATAGACTAAATAAAAGCATGTTGTTTTTCCCCTTGAAAAATCTGCGTCTTTACTGTAATCAGAGTTACATCTCTACAAACATGAATCTAACTTGGCCTGGCAGGGGGCCTCCACCAGCGTGTTTCCAAATGTTGTTTCTTTGCGTCTTCTACACTAGTATGGCATAAGACTTACCCGTCTCCATGAAGAATGTTCCTTAGTACAGTTTTAACTTTATATTTCCTTGGAATCATGCAGGTTACCTCCAGAAAGTTACGCAGTGTTGCTTTAACGCTGAGGCTACAATTGAGCTTCTTCCAATACTACAAAGAGGACCTAAGTATCCATTTCTCTAATACATTCAGTGGTTCGGTGTTTGTCTTTCTCAGTCAATATTTACCTGAATCGCTGTGAGAAGTCACATCCTGGTTAACCTCGCTTACTGTCCTGTCTCCGCCCGCGGCCCCGCCCCTCCCCAGAGTGAGTGAGAGCTGCCGTTTGATCTTCCTCACCCGCTCCATGAGGGGGGGCAGGGGGGGCCGCGCCGAAGAGGGGGGAGGGGCAGCCAGGCCGGACTGCACACCTGGACATGGAGGTCAAACACAGGTCAATGTGAAGGTGATAATGACAGGAGATGCACATCTAGACTAAGGCAGGTAAAACGCACAGGTGAATACAAAGAAAGACAGAGGGAGAAGGGGACAACACCTGTACAGGCCTATTACAAGCATTCTAACCAAATTTAATCAACATTGCAAATTTGTAATATACAATTTGTAGCCTGCAAATCCTTAACATGCACCATTAACGCTTTATGTAATTCTACAGTAAGAAATTATGTTCTTATTGAAAAGATGTTTAATTTTTGTGTCGTTTTTGTCTTAAACTGTTATCACTTTGGTTATAGTTAGGCTTTACATTAGGCTTTCAGAATATATTTTGTTGTTTAGTATATTAACACCAATAGCATCAAGTCCAATCCAGAACCAGAGGACTGCTCGGACTCAGCGCTCGTTTTCTCTCCTGTATCTTATTTTTTCTCTACAGTCACTGGTTACAAAAGCTGTAATAACTGGTCCACATATGTGTCATTATTTATGCGTGTGATCACTGATCTAATGTCTGTGCCAGACCACAGGAAACCACCATCACACCGCGCACAGCCACAACCACATTAACTACAATCACACTTATGGACATTAGAATTAGTGGTGGTCTTCAATATGGATCTATTCATTAGATTAAATCATTTCAGAACAGTACAGTTAAATAAACTCTGAAGCTCATGTAGAGACCATTATATTAAGCCTCCACCTGAGGCTGAGCCTGTTACCGCGCCATGGCAGAAGGTTCGTGGGATGTTCTGACAGCTAACAGGCTAACACACATTAGCTCATCGCCCTGACAGCTGCTCGGAGCCGCTACTCTGAGATCACCGGCTAATTCCTGCCGCGGACCGTGGAGCAAACAGCGAACGGTCAGCGCGGGGCCCGTCTACTTCCCGCGGCGCAGCGACTGTCACGGCTCGGTTATAAATAGCCCCCGGAGGCGGAGCGGCTTTAGCCCGAACCTGCTGCCGCTCCACGAACGCCACCGCCGGTATATCCAGCAGGACTCTCCGCCTTCGGTTCTGTGTCTGAACACGGGACTCCGCTGCCCGCAGCACTCACCGGGAAGATCGGTCCCGGTCCGGCCGCTTGGTTCTTTGGCTCGGTTCAGTGTGACAACGGCTCTTCTCTCTCTGGCTCCCAGTAATCTGCAGCCATGTTGCCGCTGCGCTCTGCCCCGCCCCCGGTGCGTCCGCACGGAGATCCTCGGCCACTCGGCGCTTGGAAGGTTCCTTTGGACTGGCCCTATGGGACTGGCCACTTAGTTCATAACCTGTTTATAAATCTCTAGAATTTATATTTAGAAAAAAGGAGAGGTACCTGTTTGTTTTACATACCAAAGCAGAAACATAATAGTGCTCAAATTACAAGATGTTTTCACTATAAAAACTTCAACAGGAACATATTGTTTGAGGCTTTTACTCACACTAGACAGCTGGAATTAATTTTCAATGGGAATAATACTTGCTAACCTAACACGTTATTATTAGTTATGTAAACCATCATAGCAAAAAGAAAGCAATCTTGACTATAATACCTGCATTTATTAGCATTTAAATGCTCCAAAAAGAACAAAGTTCTTCTGTATTTTTAGAGACATTACCATTTGTGTTTCTTTGTATATTTTATTTAAACATGTATTTACTAATAAAAAGCTTCATTATTGCAATTAGTGAATTTATTTACAGATATTTTTCATATTCAAGTGTTATATAAGCAGACCACAATTAGTTAATTTATTGAGAAAAAGAACAAAACATTTTCTCCTCATGTCTTTACATAAATTAACCTGGCAGAGACTGCATAGTTGGCTCCAAAAACAGACCCAGTGGTTGGCAAGGACAAACTGCATTTGCAGAATAAAAATATTCCAATGTTTGCTCTGCCAGCATATAGTCAGTTTGCTTATGATTGATTGGCATTGAAGATCTTGGCAAGCAATGAGACATTTGATTGGCTCTTCTGCTGTATGAGGCGGGACTTGTCCATTTGTTTCTGTGAAAGTGAGTCCTTATTTTTCCTCTTCTTTCTGTTCTGAATCTCCTCTTCAGTTTGTCTCTGAGTGAAGTCCCATGTTCTCTCCTCGTCCTGAATCAAAGGAAAGACATTTGATATAGTTTATAATTTGGTTCATTTTCTGACTGCGAGATAATTGAACTGGCAACTAGAGAATTAGTTACTATACATTTTTGACACCACAACAAACTCAAAGGTTTTTCAGTGTATATTTTTTTTAGCAAAATTGTTAACAAATATTATAAAAGCAGCATTAATAAAGAACTATTCACACATAATCACAAAACCACTGAATAATTGTACCTGTTGCCCATCTCTCTGCCTCTTTTTCCTCTGGCGCTCCATCCTCTCTCCTTTGTCCACATTGTTGAGGTAGAAGTTGGTTTCTCTTTTGGCCTGAGAGACTTCGGTTCTGAGTCTCTGCTGGAGCACAGTCTGTTCATAGGCCAGGCGTTCGCTCAGATGTGTCCACTGGAAACGATGCAGGTACTGAAGGCAAAAGGAAGAAACAAACAAAAATGAATAAAATACTAGGATAAACAATAATTCTATCCACTTTTGTCCTCACAGAGAAGGACGATGTAAGAGGAGTACAGTGACAGTGACAATGTATTCATTTGCTAAAATCTTGACTACAAACAAACAGATAAAAGTGTGTGGAGAGGACATCTTATTCCCTAGTACAGAGGGATTATCATGCTCTATCATTTTAGATAATAATGTAAAACTTACGTGGAAAACCTGCCACAAGTCATGTATACAATTAAAACACTTTCCCAATACCCTTTTCTCCAAAATTTGAGCATACAAGTGATGAGCATACAAGTGTGATTTTTTTTTTTATGCTTGTCATAATTACATGCCATTTGTCTAAAACATGTCTATTGCAGGTGAACACAAATACACTACAGAATGCCCATTACAGTGTTGCATATGATATAAACATGTACAAGACCTCACCTTGATGCACCACAGGTCGGCGGCAAAGCGCTGCCTCTTCCTGGTTCCCATCGGAGTGTTATGGAGAGAGGCGGCCACTCTCTTTGCCACACGTTTGTCCCTGAACTCCACCCATCCCTCAGTGAAGTCACAGCGACGCAGACCAGACTTTTTCTTTCTCTTCCGGACCATACCATCTGCCAATATGGAGAATTATACAAACAGTCAACTCAACAGATTCACAATTTACAGGTAATTCAGTACAGATAAAGTCAGGTATTACTATTTCAGTAGCCAACCTACAATAAATGTAAAATAAAGATGAGGTTTTTAATAAAGATAAAGAAGTTAATTATTGCTGTTTGACAATTTAAGGAAGAGGAGAAACTAGAGGACAAATATGTTACTCATAGCAACTCCAGAAAATATATTATTCCCAATACAAATTACCCTATATATTTAAAGCAATAGTAGTAGTAGTAGTAGTAGTAGTAGTAGTAGTAGTAGTAGTAGTAATGGTGGTAAAGCACTAGTACAACCCAAACTCCTACAGTAACTACCTGCACCTGTTGTAGTAAAATCACAAAGAGCAACGATTCTCATTGTGTCAACTAGGGGTGTGCAAAAATATCGGAATATCGATATATCGTATTGATTAATGTGATGATACAGTATCGATATCGTGGGCTAGTGTATCGATATATCACCAAGAGTATTTTTAGGTGTATTTTACTAAATTATTTAGTTACAGTGCTACAGTTTTGTTGCTTGTGGAGTGAAAGGAAGCTCATTTATGCAACACATTTGACATTTTTAGTGTTTTGAGGATTAAAATGTTTGTGTTTCATATGAACTTTGGACAAGAAGTGGTTTAACAAAGCCTTTATTATCACAGCCACGATTTAGCCTTTATTTTTTATTGAACCGTATCGAATCGATTTGAAATATATCATATCGAATGGAAAGTGCACTGTATCGAGATATGCATCGTATCGGCAATTTCTTAATGATACCAGCCCTAGTGTCAACCAAGACATTTGCTCAACACCACTTAAATGTTATGACAATGTCCAAACGCACCTTCTGGTTGTAGAAAAATGCGTCCAATCTCCCCATAGACCGACAGCAGGTTCCTCAGGTGTTTGGGTTTGAGTCTGGGTGGGATATGTCCCAGGTAAATGATCCCTGGAACCACCTTTTTGTCAGATTTTATCCCAAACTTTGTCTTCTTTTGTCGAGTTGTAGATTCTCCACCAGTGTGCCCTTCTGGATCTGCAGCACTTTCATTTTCAGAGTCAGCATTTTCTCCTTTCTCAGTGTCCTCACCTCCTTCCTCCTCTTCATCGTCGTCTTCATCTCCATTACTGTCCTCATGTTGTTCATCTGATTTAACTTGTTCTTCACACTCCTCCGTATTGGCGTTTTCATCTTTTAGAGAGTCCTCCACTTCTCCCCCATCGTTTCTCTCCATGTCTGCGTCAACTGTCTTTTTCTTCTTTTATTCTATAACAAGCAAACACCCAAACAATCTTAATGAGGGTCGAGAGAAGAACAGGAATGAAAGGGTCAATTAACTACTGAAATTGGGCATTGTTTACCGATTCAAGATGATCTAGTTCATAATCTGTTATCCAGAAAATATAAAAAATGTCTTTAAGACAAAAGTACTGACTATTACCTGCAGACTCTGATAATAATTTCAAGAGTAGACTCCAGAAAAGTCCACTCTGCTTCACACGTGAGAAAATCCACAACACACTGTCGCTTCTCAATTACGTTTTTTCCTTTACCCTTCAGAATAAAATGTTATCAAATATAATTTCTACATATTTAAATGTATGGCAAAATTTTCACAAGTATATTGAATATACGAGTATATTAAAGATTGGGAAACAATTCTAGCGCATTAAAACCCAAATCATTACTGAAAGCAGGGATATTAAACACTAATAATTATTAAGATGAAAGGTTACGTTTACTTCCGTTAGCATAGTCTTGGCTAAAGCTAATTTTGTCTGATTATGCTCGTTCAGTTCAGTTTACGTCCTCAAACTTTCACCAAACAAGAGTTTACTACAAAAAGAAACTGTATCGCACACGGATCTATGCTGTTCTAGTGCATATGCAGTGTTGGGAGTAACAGATTACATGTACTGGAGTTATGTAATCAGAGTACAAATTATGAGTAACTGTATTCAGTTACAGCTACTGTTTCAGTGAGTGGTAATTGGATTACAGTTACTTTGTTGGAATAAATGGATTACATGGAGGTATTTTCCTGTTTTCACATTTTGGGCTATTCCTTTTTTTTTTGGTAATTCCACTCATTGGCGGACACTAAACCAGGTCTAAAACCAGGACTAAACCAGGTCTAAAACCAGGACTAAACCAGGACTAAAACCAGGACTAAACCAGGTCTAAAACCAGGACTAAACCGGGTCTAAAACCAGGATTAAAACCAGGTCTAAACCAGGACTAAACCAGGACTAAAACCAGGACTAAACCAGATCTAAACCAGGACTAAAACCAGGTCTAAACCAGGTCTAAAACCAGGTCTAAAACCAGGTCTAAACCAGGGCTAAACCAGTGCTAAACCAGGTCTTAACTAGGACTACAACCAGGTCTAAAACAGGATTTAACAGGACTAAACCATGCTGCGTGGACCGTGTTTCCTCCTCTTCTATCAACAATATCTTTAATTTGGCTCAGTAAAGTCTGGACTTTTTATTTTCTTTTAGCAAACAAAACTTCTTATGTGAAGATTTCCTCGTCTTTGCTTCTCTACAGCAAATCAAGTAATCCAAAGTATTCAGATTACATTACTCACTTTAAGTAATTTAATGGATTCCGTTACAAACTACATTTTGGGGTCTGTAATTTGTAGGGGAATACATTTTAAAAGTAATACTCCCAACACTGTGCATATGTGGTGTGTTTTGGTTGAGTTTAAGCTGTAAAAATACAAAAAAAAAAAAAAAAAAAAAAAGTTGAATGCTGGGCTAAAGCTACAGGAAATGAACCGTGGATCTGCGGCGGAGTGTTTTGAATCCGAGTCTCGTCCCCGTCAGCCGCGATGTCGCCATGTTTCCATCGTCTCGTGTTGTACTCGGTTATTTTAATACATCTGTTAATGACAGAAGTTAGCGAAGATGCAGAGGCCGGTGTGTAGTCTCCCCCTGAGCTCCGCGGTCATCTCCAGACTGACCCGGAGAGGCTTTCAGTGCACCGCGGACCTGGAGCAGCTCACGGCCGGGCAGCTCAGCGCAGGTACAGGCTCCACACAAACACACGAACAGAGTTGGGAAGGTGACTTTTAAAATGTATTCCCCTACAGATTACAGATTACACATACCCCAGAATGTAGTTTGTAACGGAATCCATTAAAATACTTAAAGTGAGTGACGTAATCTGAATACTTTGGATTACTTGATGTTGTCAGGCTTTTTAAAACTACATGAATGTACCGACCACATCCTGAAAATTCGTGTTTGTTTTCTTTAAATTGGCCCTGGTTTAGACCTGGTTTAGACCTGGTTCAGTCCTGGTTTCGTCCTGGTTCAGACCTGGTTTAGTCCTGGTTTAGACTTGGTTTAGTCCTGGTTTAGACCTGGTTTAGTCTTGGTTTAGTCCTGGTTCAGACCTGGTTTAGTCCTGGTTTAGACCTGGTTTTAGTCCTGGTTTAGTCCTGGTTTAGTCCTGCTTCAGACCTGGTTCAGACCTGGTTTAGTCCTGGTTCAGTCCTGGTTTAGATCTGGTTCAGTCCTGGTTTAGACCTGGTTTTAGTCCTGGTTTTAGTCCTGGTTTTAGTCCTGGTTTTAGTCCTGGTTTTAGTCCTGGTTTAGTCCTTGTTTAGTCCTTGTTTAGTCCTGGTTTATCCCAAAATATGAAAACTGGAAAATACCGCTGTGTAATCTATTTCAACAAAGTAACTGTAATCCAATTACCACTCACTGAAACAGTAACTGTAACTGAATACAGTTACTTATAATTTGTACTCTGATTACGTAACTCTGGTACATGTAATCTGTTACTCCACAACACTGCACACGAATAATAACTCTTTAGTCCGAATTCACTTTTCCTTTACGTTATTCAAACAAAGTAACAAAATACAAGACCTGATCACAGCCTGAGCCACGCTAATAATTTATCAACATAGCAGCAAAATATCTAAGCATATTTAGCTGTATCATCAAAACTAGAGTGACCAGACGTCCCTATTTACCCGGGACTGTCCCAGTTTTGAGCCCTGTGTCCCTTGTCCCATCAGATTTATCCAAAACCAGTGATTTGTCCCAGTTTTATACAAGAAATGTCCCTATTTTTGACCAGTTTGACACCTACCAACAGTAAAAAGAGGCATAAATTAGTCATTTTTTGTCAATTTGTCAATCATTTGTTTAAGTAAAATACAGAAAAGCTGCTTAAAAATGACCAAAACACAAAGACAATGTGACTATATTGACTCAGATGTTAGTCATGAATCAGGGCAGCCGCGAGGTCTTAAAAGTCTTAAAAAGGTCTTAAATTTCATGTTCCTAAATTAAGGCCTTAAAAAGTCTTAAATGATGTTGTCCAAGTCTTATTTTTTTCACAAAGGTCTTACATTTCATTAGCCTATTTTTTTGTAAACTCAACCAGGCTGCAGTGCAATGGAAAAAAAGAAAAACAACAACGTGAAATCATATAACGTGAATGAACTTTTTATTTGGAGCATGCGCAAACAATACTTCGGTTTCAGGCGCTGTCGGTAAAGGAGGAAGACGTTGGATGGATCATGAGGACATGAAGTTTTAATCCACAGTGGTTCTTAGATTGTACATATAGTACTGTAGTTGGTTGGTCATTATTAGAATTGGATCTGGTGTTTTTGCCTACATAATGGGTGCTATGTTGGTCTTAATTTTCATTTAAGTGGTCTTTTATTATTATCAAACACCAAAAAAATGAGGATGTCTGGTCACCCTATTCAAAACCACCTTATAGCAAAGGTTCTGAAGTAGTCATCAAATTAAATGTTTTAAGATCACGTTTCGACTCGATCCCGATTCTAAAATAAGCCTACTGAAATCCATCTTAAATTGGCACTCTGTATACATTCATTGTCACAGGCTTCAGTCAGTGTTGTTAATCTAATGTAATACAACATGTCTTTGCAGAGACAGGTGTAACAGAGGAGGAGGCGTCGGAGGTGTTGGATCTGGTGGATCCTCAGCACTGTCCTGTCTCCATCACTGCACTGGAGCTGCTGCACAGAGAGGCAGAGCTAAAGCCCATAGTGACCTTCTGCTCTGAGCTGGACCAGGCACTGGGAGGAGGGATTCCTCTGGGGAAGACTGTCGAGCTCTGTGGAGTGCCAGGGATCGGCAAAACACAGCTTTGGTGAGAGGCAATGTTAATATGGTATTTATAATTTTATATAAACTATAGCCATAAACTGAAACCAAAACTAAAACTGATCATTGTTTAAGTTAAACACAGCACTGCTCTATGTAAAAATGTATTTGATCATTTAAAAGATTTTGTAGTTTTTGTCTTTTAGAGGTGTGCATTATGGGGTCTTTCCAGTGTTGGGGAGTAACAGATTACATGTACCAGAGTTACGTAAAGAGTACAAATTATGAGTAACTGTATTCAGTTACAGTTACTGTTTCAGTGAGTGATAATTGGATTACAGTTACTTTGTTGAAATAAATGGATTACATAGAGGTATTTTCCTGTTTTTACTATTTGGCCTAAACCAGGTAAACCCAGGTGGTCTAAACCTTTTTGGTCTAAACTCTTTGGCTAAACTCTAAACAGCAAATCAAGTAATCCAAAGTATTCAGATTACAGTTACTCACTTTAAGTAATTTAATGGATTACGTTACAAACTACATTTTGGGGTATGTAATCTGTAATCTGTAGGGGAATACATTTTAAAAGTAACACTCCCAACACTGGGTCTTTCCCAATAGTAAATCTTAGAAAATGTTTCATTGTTATTCAATTCTATTTACATTGACCAGCAACTAGAAAAACATGATTTTGATAATATGTGTTCAGTAGTAGAAGTTATTTTATTACATTGACATAAACAGAAGCAGTTAAGGACTTATTACAGTGAAGACAAAAGTAAAGATTTGCATTTCATGTTCAGATTATTCCCACACATTGCACCATATGTTTTCTTAATCTGAATCAGCTCTTTACAGTGTATTCTGTGTCTCCAGTCTGCAGTTGGCCGTGGACGTGCAGATCCCACAATGCTTTGGGGGCCTGGGGGCTCAGTGCCTTTTCATCGACACAGAGGGCACCTTCTTCCTGGAGAGGTTCAGAGAAATGGCGGCGGCTGTGGTCAGACACTGTTCACTGCTCACAGAAGACCCGGAGCAGCAGGACGCCATGAAGACCTTCACTGTGGACAAGATTCTCTCCAACCTGTTTGTGGTGTGTGTGACTCAAAACTCAAAGTCACCAGTCAGACCATAGGTGTTTATATGTCAAATATAGAGCGTCATTCAAAATACTCCAAGGCTGCTTTCAGACTGCAGCCTGAAGTGACCCAAATCCGATTTTTTGGCCTCTATGTGACCTGTATCTGATCTTTTAATGACAGTCTGAACGACACAGATCCGACCCAGGCCACTTGGATATGTGTTCCTGAAACCGATACATATCTGATCTTTTGACATGCGACTTCAGTCTGAACGGCCAAAGTGCATTCATCCACCTACACGTTATCAACAAGCCACAAACGTCACTATTCTGCGCTGAAGTAGGTGAAAATTGTTAATGAACTCCATGTCACTGAAGTGAAGCACATCACCACTCACCACTCTTGGCTCCGTCTCCACATCCACACGTTCTTTTCAACAGATGTTGCTATCACTGTCCAACAAAACGCCACTGCCAAAAAACTCATCCTTCTCAATCTCCTGAAACTAAGTAAGTTGTTCATGTTCTGGCTCCGGTACGAGAGAAACTTAAAATCTCCAGGTGCTCAGTGCTCGCATCCATGTTTGGACAACTTCCGTAAACACAGAGCACACTCGCTGCGGTAAAAGATCCATGGCCGTTTACCGTTCACACTGGAGTCACATACAAGTCGGAAGTTGGAAATGTGAACGACCTCGCAAAAACATCGGATTTCACAAAAAAATCTGAATTGAGCATTAAGCCCTGCAGTCTGAACGTAGCCAAAGTCTCACACATTCCTATGGGTAGTACTTGTCTTGAAATACGTCAGCAATACATTTTTTAAAATGGTTAAAAAAATATATGGTTTAATAAAAAATATATATTGCATTCAGTTCTGAGATTGAGCTTGGGTTTGCCCGGTTTGAGACCTAATGTAGACTTGGATTGATCCTGGTCTAGTTCAAATTTAGTTCCAGGTTTAGTCCCAGTTTAGTCTGAGTTTTGGTGTGGGGATAATTCAAGTGTTTGTGAAGTGTTTATAATCGTAGTATATGTTTAACTAACTGTATCATCATTCTTTGGCAATCCTGCTTAAACTTTGTATGGGAAGGACTGTAATTGTGTCATTTATTGCCATTGTGTACCAACAGGAGTCATATTACCTAACTTTAAACTTCTCTGTTATCTCAGGTGTGTTGTGACGACTCCATGGAGCTGCTGTCTCAGATCTCAGACCTCCCCACGTTTCTCTCTGATCATCCTGAAGTCCGTCTGATCATCATCGACAGCATCGCCTTCCCGTTCAGGCTCCACTTTGAGGACCCGCCCCTCAGAACTCGTCTCCTCCTCGGTGCCGCTCACGAGCTCGTCGCCCTGGCAACCACCCGCAACACCGCCGTGGTGATGACCAATCAGATGACGACGCGGGTCCAGGGGGAGGGGTCACGTCTCGTCCCCGCACTCGGTGAAAACTGGGGACACGCAGCAAATATTCGGATACTGCTCCAGTGGACGGACTGTAAACGCGTGGCGACAATATTCAAATCATCGAGTCACATGACCACCTCTGTCCAATACCAGATTAATACAGACGGATTCAGGGACCTGTCAGAGGAGAATAAAAGAGCAAAAATAGAGACTGAGGAACAGAAAGCATCTGGAACAAGCTAATCACAAGACTGAACCAGGATTAAAACATTTACTTTTTGAACAAGCATGGAGCCAACCAGCAAAGTACAAACTGTTTATATATAAAGAGAAATGCTTTTAAATAAATATCTGTATTTTATAATAAAATCTCATTCCCTTATGAATATTTGGAAAATTTTCCAGAAAATATTTATATTTATGAATTTGTGTTAAATTCAAATGTGGCAATAAATTATTGTGTTTATATTGCTCTATATACTATATCTATATCTACTATATTTATTTATTTTAATGCGACAGCGACAGTGCGCAATTTTTACATTAACCTTAACAGGAGAAATGCTTTGTACCAGGTTGTAGCACCAGTGCTCATTTCCACCTGTCGTCCCTGGGCAGGTTCATTGATTAATTGTATTTAATTGACCTTAACTATCAACTGTTCTTCCTGGAGACCGACGGAGCATGTGTTGGGTTCATCATATGATGATGACGATATGAAAAAAAAGGGAAGCCTTGCTGGCTTGTTGACATTGACAAACGTGTTTTAGAAAGACACTCTAGAGAGTTTTTTAATGTTGAAAAGTACATGGATTTGGGCATCTAAAAATGTGATTAACAATGGAGAAGACATTCAAAAAGTTAGGCCTTATTAAATATGTGTTATTATTATTTTTACAATGCTTGCCTCATTCCCATTGTCTGGTGAATGGGAAAAAATACTCTGCTAATTAAAAAATTTTTCAATATAAAAAAAAAGACAGATCAAACTTTATTGTCAAGATGCTCTATGGGCAGGTGTATTAAAAAAAATTCTTGTTTGATTTGAAAAGTTTGCAGGCCAAACTGTGATTAGACTGTGAAATGAGCAGGAGGCGGAGAGGAGGCAGTTCTCGCTGTAAATATTTCATTTTGTTTATGACAGATGAATATTTACACAAATATGTTCATGTTACTGTTTATTCAGAAGCACCTGTGCAGTGTGCAGCACCTGAAACTGTGTGACCACCAGAGGGCGCCACAGGGCTGCACCCCTGCCTTTTATTCAGGGATCAAATATGTAGTGAGAGAAATTAGAGTTAGGAGGAGCTGTCTCTTTTACAGTGTGGGGGAGAAAAAGGGAGAGTTACAGCTCCAGGGAAACCCGCGGGGAATCCACGAAGGTGAGCCGGGAAAGAGCGCTCCTGGACGGCAAGAGTGAGGCGTGAGCGGGAGATGCTCCGGCGGAGGTGAGAATGTTTCTAATTTAACAAATAGACTGAAGAGAATTACTGAGGCGGGGAAATGATCAAAATGGAGACACGACTGCACTTCATTTTATTTAGTATTTTTTGCAACAATAGAAAACAGAACAATAACGATTTGAAATGTTGATTGAATATTTGGTTGTGGAATATTTGATTGAATTTGAGTCTAATCTCTTTGAATGTTACATTATAACTCAACCCCTTTTGTCTTTTCACAAAAACAACTTCACTGATTGATTCATTGACATTTTTATCCAACGTCGTTAGTCAGAGCTGGGCTGAGGATCGTTCAGGTGCAGCAGGTCAGGTGTCCGTAAGGTGTTCCGTGCTCCAGTGGCGCAATCGGTCAGCGCGCGGTACTTATAAGACAGTAACCTGCAAAGTGATGCCGAGGTTGTGAGTTCGAGCCTCACCTGGAGCAAGACTTTAATTAGAAGGAAAAAAAAAACAAATCTCTGCTACCCCTTTAAAACTTTAATGTAATTCAACTTGGGAAAAGCTGCAAACTCGCAAACTATGATGAAATCGTGCTCACAGGATCAATCTCACGTTGCGGGCCGCTCATAAAATAATCATCACAGGTCACTGGATTTCAATAATGTGCGAAGATCTTTCTGCATGAGCTCCATCTGAATGTTCTCTCTGTGCTTCAGTGGTGCAATCGGTCAGCGCGTAGTACTTATAACTAGGGGTGTGCAAAAATATCGGAATATCGATATATCGTATCGTTTAATGTGATGATACAGTATCGATATCGTGGGCTACTGTATCGATATATCACCAAGAGTCTTTTTAGGTGTGTTTTACTAAATTATTTTGTTACAGAGCTACAGTTTTGTTGCTTGTGGAGTGAAAGGAAACTCATTTATGCAACACATTTGACATTTTTATTGTTTTGAGGATTAAAATGTTTGTGTTTCATATGAACTTTGCACAAGAAGTGGTTTAACAAAGACTTTTAGTATAACAGCCACGATTTAGCCTTTATTTTTTATTGAACCGTATCGAATCGATTTGAAATATATCATATTGAATGGAAAGTGCACTGTATTGAGATATGTATCGTATCGGCAACTTCTTAATGATACCCAGCCCTACTTATAACACAGTAACCTGCAGAGTGATGCTGAGGATGTGAGTTTGAACCTCACCTGGAGCAAGTCTTTACAAAAAAAAATTAGGCTACATGTATATATTTATCAAAACAATGGAGTGTCTGGAGTGTGGGTCTGCTGAAAAACTACTCTAGACCTATAAATGCTGTGATAGCAGTAACCTGAATTTAATCTACAACTAAGTAGCCTATTATGTGGACGGAGTGGACGAGGTTAAACTTCGTAAAACATCCCAAACCCACCAAAATACCCTGTTCTTATCCTATTTCTTTAGATTGGTGTTAAGAATAAGCAGGTTTCTAAGCTTTTAGTTATTTGGTCTACTGCAATGGCATAGTCAAACAAATGTTCATTGCTCTATTATTATTTTATATTGATCATAAGCTGGAGTTCATAAAATTAGTTGACAAATCTTTGCAGAGGATTTCTTCAGTCAATAGTCCTGCTCTAGTTGCTCAGTGTGTGCGTGACCTGTTACCTGTTACTATATTAAGTAACCTGCAGAGTGCTTCTGACCATGAGCTCGTCTGCATTCCTTCGTCAATATTTCTAAGTACTTTAACATTTTGGTTCATTTAATATTTATTTATTTCCATTATTTGTATTCAACTGTTTTCTCAGGTGCTACTTCAGGATGAAAACTCGGCCCTGATTGGACCTCGTCATGTCTCTCGCTTCCTGCTTCCCCTCTCGCTGGCCCAGCCCTGTCCAGCTCTGGATCCCCTTCCTGTCCGTGTGCGCTCTGATTGGTCGACCCGTTGGCTCCTCTCACCAGCACTTCCACCCGCACTCCATCAAATTGCCCGGCGACATCACCCTGGGCGGCCTGTTCCCCATCCACGCCCGGGGGCCCCACGGTTTGCCCTGCGGAGAGCTGAAGAAGGAGAAGGGCATTCACCGGATGGAGGCCATGCTGTACGCCTTAGACCAGATAAACCAGGACCCGGACCTGCTGCCCAACGTCACTCTGGGGGCGAGGATCTTGGACACCTGCTCCAGAGACACTTACGCCCTGGAGCAGTCTCTGACTTTCGTGCAAGCTCTGATTCAGAAAGACACGTCAGACATTCGGTGTTCAAATGGAGAACCTCCTCTGATAAGGAAACCGGAGAGAGTGGTGGCGGTGATAGGAGCCTCCGCCAGCTCGGTGTCCATCATGGTGGCCAATATCCTCAGGCTTTTCGAGGTGAGTTTGAGTTTGTATGTTCACAAATCTTGTATCATTTTATACCCGGTTGATGTGGTGCAGTCGGTCAGTGTGTGGTACTTATAAGACAGTGACCAGCAGAGTGATGCTGAGGTTGTGGGTTTGAGCCTCACCTGGAGCACAAGTATTACTTAAAGGTGCACTATTAACTTCTAGGGTGGTATTTGTCTCCATGGAGATGTGATTTCTTTGCCTATAGGCGAGTTTCAGCTGACGTCATTGTTATTAAAAGCCCGCATTGCATGCTGGGAAATATTTTAGTCGGAGGCAAGAAACAGGATAGTGGTCAAACACAGTGCGTAACCTTGCGTATTTATCCCCGATAATGGTAAATTCCTGCTGCATTATCGGATGCACAAATAGAAGCACGGAAGAAGGAAAATGTCTTTTTCGTATTCTGAGTGAAAAGAACCGCTAACGGTGAATTAAACGGCTTTCAAACATTCGCAGAGCAAACGTAGAAGATCCTAACAAACCGTGGACTCCAACAAGATCAGCAACGCATCGAGACTCTTGGAGGTTTTCATCTTTTCTGCTGTGAATGGCCCAGGAGTTTCCACCAAGTCATTGTGGATATCACCGAAGTGAATATTTGTCCAGGTAGTTGGCGATTCTGACCAGAAATTTGGTTTGGTCCACCTTTTGTAGGGGTTGAAAAGGGTGATTTGTCGTCCATCGATGCTTATGACCAATTTCTGTTCAAATGGTCTTGGGTCCTCTGCCGTTAGAGTGGATAAATAACCGGGATCAATACCCTTTACGTGCTTTCTCACTCCGTCCGTCATGTTGAATTAGTGTTTCTTGCGCAGCGCAGCCGTCGCCCGATCGTGCTTTGTGAACACCCTGCTCATCGGGCTTGGGGTTCTCCCTCTCTCAAGTCCAAGATTAGTCCTGGTTTAGTCTTGGTTTAGTCCTGTTTTAGTCTTGGCTTAGTCTTGGTTTAGACCTGGTTTAGACCTGGTTCAGTCCTGGTTGAGCGGGATTCATCACATCGACGGCGTCACGAATCGTACCCTCACTTAACCAATCCCCACTACTTCACTGCGTATATCCCTTGCATTTGTTCAACTGCAGGTGTTTTATAACTCAAAAATACCTTAAAAACACAAATTCTTACCATATTCAGGCTTGCCTCTCCAGAGATCTGACCATTATCTTGCCTCTGTTGTGATTACCAAGTTTATACTATGGAATAATCAAGGTAAAACAGTAACATCTCCATGTAGAAAAGAAGGTGGCGGATGTTCCTCTAGAAAAGCTACACAGTGCACCTTTAAAATAACCCATCTGATATATTCTTATTAACAGTTCAACGTGGGTCGCGCTCTTTAAAGATACTGCATAGTGATTCCGTCTCTCTTATCATAAATCACTGCCTGTATTGGGAGAGAGTTATCAGTGAATGAAAAACTCCCATTTCCAGGTGTTCCAAGTCTCCTATGATTATTTTACAACCCAAATATTCAACAGTTTCTCTCTTCTACATTCATTGCCTTGTACGGTACTTGATATTTTCTTCATGATAACATTAAGTCTGACCTAACAAGCTCCAATGGCGCAACGGGTCAGCGTGCGGTACTTATAAGACAGCGACCTGCAGAGTGATGCCGAGGTTGTGAGTTTGAGCCTCACCTTTAGTAAAAAAACTAGCACTTTAATCCTGAAGGTAATCCATAATTTAGGAAAAACTGCAAAAATTTAAAATACGTGTTGAAATATTGCTTTACATATCAATCAATCTCACATTATCAAACATCAAAATCACGAAAGGCCCGTGGATTTCAATCATGCCCAGAGTTTTCTGCATAAATACATAATTTTACAACCTTCTATTATAATTACTTTGCTGTCCTTTGTTCTTCAGTGGTACAATCAGTCTGCATATTCATAAGACACTAACATTCATAGTGATGTTGACTATGATGTTAAATTATAACCTGAAAGTAATCCACAACTTGGTAAAATTTGCAAATGCGCACATTACCAAATTATGATATTGCTCTTGGTATCAGTCTCCTATTATAAAACATCCATACTACAACAAAGGGATGTAACGATATCCAGTACAATATTAACTGAGATATTTTGTGGAGTCAAATGAAATTATGAATATGATACTTTTTCCTTTTAAAGTGCATTTACAGGCTTTTGCTTCACCATAATAAATAACATGAGAAAAGGTACACAAAATATACACTCAATATAGTAATAATTGTGATAGGCCTGCTCCATGTCTAACTCTCCTGAAACATTAGTGTTGCCTCCACCTTATATTGTTCTCCTTCTCATCGGTTCTAGTGCTGGTATCTTCGGTTTCAGTGGGCTCTGGTGTTTTACCGTGCTCCTGGTTGTTGCTAATGATGTTGATGAAGTCTTCTTGATGGAGGTTAATCTCTCTGGGTTAATGTAATTGTATTTTATGTGAGCTCTGACACAGATTGAGTCTTCTCAGTCAGCATAATCCTGTCTGTGCTCCTCACAGCGCACTCATAAACAGCTGTTTTCAGTCAAAACTAATACTTGACACATGCTTTAAATTATATTATCAACACAACTATAGGTATAACTGCAGTACACACTGTAAAAGTGTCCGGGAACTACTGGTCTTTGTGTTCTTTCTAATATTATATTTATTTATTACTTTCTTTTTATTTGGTTTATTTGAACAGAAACAGATACACACAATAATAAATAATAAATACTATACTATAAGATGCAACAGCTGTTTGTTGTTGCACTTTATAGTATTAGTATAAATATAGTAGAAGTTGTAACTTCAAGTATTGTGATGTTTTAATATCATGAAGTAAAGCTGTTTAATTTAATCAAATGGTATAGATGTGCCAGACGTTTTGAATTTGAATATTTCATGATGAATGAAATAACTTGAATAAAAAAGAGATGAAATGGAAATGGGGAAAAAGCATCAACTTGTGATATGTGGGTATTCTAACAGTTTACTGAAATAATTATGTTGTGTTCAATTTGAAATTCTGATAAAAAACTCAAGCTGCCAAATTCAGATAAAAAAATAATAAAAAATTCAAGCTGAGCAATTCAAGTTAGTCCTGGTTCAGTCTGTATGCGATGCAAAAGTCCAGCATCCAAGTTTAAGTCACTTGGACTAAGACCGGTACTGAGACCAGGACCAGTGCTGGACGGTCTAGCTGACTCTGTGGCTCTGCACTCAGCACATTCCCACAGTAACAGAATGTGCGGTGAACTTTGACCTGGATGTTTTCGATCTGAATTTCTCAACTTGAATTTCACAACTTGATCTTTTTTTCAATCTGAATTTCTCAACTTGAATTTCTCAACTTGATTGTTGTCAGTCTGAATTAAAGATGCTGAAAAGTAACGTAAAATCATACCCACCTATCACATGTTAATGTTTTTTTTTTCCCCATTTCCATTTCAACTATTTTTTATTCAAGTTATTTCATTCATCATGAAATATTGTAATTCAAAACTTCTGGCACATCTGCGCTTCCATAATTAAGATTCAGTCATTACAAATCACCAAAGAAATGCTTGGACCCTTTTCACTGAGCGGTCTACAGCCAAAGCTAAAATAATGTACTATATAATAATAACACTGAGGTTGGAACAGATACAGGACGGAGGAATGTCACTATTTAACTGTTAGTCTTGTTTATGTTTGTGAAATTACTAAAGATGTAACGATATCCAAATCTCTCGGTACGATATTATCACGATATGCATTTTACTGTACGATATTTATTGCGATATTTTGCACAGGCTGATATAATTGTGGATAGGACACTTTTGCTTTTAAAATATCTTGACAAGATTTTGGTGTGAATTATTTCCGTCATAATCCCAAGAATTCAAGTCAAAAACATATTTCTTCATGTTGTCTGCGCTGAAATGAATCATGGGATATGAAGTACCTGATGTTTATAAACTGTTGCCACTGTAAAACCTGCACTTAAGCAAAGGAACTTTTAATTCAATATATTGTGACAGGCCACGATATTAATGTGAGAGTTTTGACGATACAATATCACGATATTTCAGTTTTTGTTACATCCCTAGAAAATAATATTAAAACTTGTGATTGCTCTTTGTTTTTTAATTAGACAAAATAACATTTACCGTAATCTAAAAACTTAATAGATCACAATGAGCAAAAGGGATTCAGGAGCATTAACATTTAACAGTGTGAAGTGAATGAATGTTCTAAACTACAGACAGGTTTATTATGATGGAATACTTATTTTAGTGGGCTTTTTTTTATTAGCTTATTTTGTTTCCAGTGAAATGGTGTTTTTGTTTTGATTGTGGTTAAGAATTGCACCTTTGTTATTTCTTTGGTTTCTAACAGTTTACTGAAATAATTATGTTGTGTTCAATTTGCCTCAACAAATGATTCTCAAATCTATTTTATCTCTAGACAAAACACATTTCACCCCAGATGGGACTCGAACCCACAATCCCTGGCTTAGGAGGCCAGTGCCTTATCCATTAGGCCACTGGGGCTCTGTTTATAGGGGATCATGTGTCCCATTGTGATGTCAGAGCTCACAGAGTCCTGTTGTGAAGAGTTCAATGGAACAAAGAAAAGCCCCACACTCAGCAGAGTGGAGCAGTGAAGGAATTTTACTACATCTGCCAGCAGCTAAAACTCAACGAATATTTGATTAATTTAAAGAGGACATTTACTAGTATATAAAACATGCATGTGTTCTGTTGTGACGTGTTATAACAGACGTCCCTCATCATTAAATTAAACAAAGTTTTATTTCAGTGGATTCATGAATATTTGAGTAATCCTGTATTGTCTTGCATTTTAATGAAAATGTCAATTTTCTAATTGCAAGACGTATACTGCTGTTACACTGGAAATCTGACAAATGTCCTTCTTTTTCGCTATGGCTTAAAGATATGGTGGTGTTTCTAAAACTTGAAAAAATTAAATATACATTAAGGGGATGTACAGATAGATTTTTCCAGGTATGGCAATGCCTTATTTCTTATTTTTCTAATATGCAAGTGTTACCAGTATGAATGTACCAGTACCTACCTGTTGTTGTAATTGTAACCTGCTGTTTCCGTAATTAGAATATTTAATATTTAATTGATGGTGCTATGTATGTGGTTTAACGCTGAGCTGAGATGGGTTGGGATGGGAGATGTTCTCTACGAAAAAGAAAAAAATCCTATTATTATTTTTTATTTTTCTGTACACGTATATTGTTGATGGTTGTATTTTATGCAGGTTTAGTACATTGTGTGTGTGTAATTGGAGGGGATAAAAAAAAGACAAGTTAACTGTATATTTCATTGTATATTTTCTGTTAAGGTTCTTAATAAAAATATTTGGGGAAAAAAAAGAAAATGTCCATGTTCACCTTCCCCCATCTCCACCCACTGCTCTGTACTTATTTGTGATTATCCAAATACTCAAAATGACAATTTAGATTTAATCACAATTCAGGTTCTCATGTTTTAGTTTTTTTTCTTTGTTGTTGAGAAGGAGCACAGGGGATGCTCTGGGACAGTTTTCCTTTGTTTGTTTCCTGTGAAAGTTTGACCATCTGTTTGTCTATTATTGATTGAATTGAATGCATATTAAATAACAAAACAATCCGCTCCTTCTGAGGGTTCACCTTTTTTCATCGGTTAAAGGTCCTATATTATGCAAAACTGAAATTAAAGTCACATTATAATGTTGTAACCTCCTCAAAAACAGACCTAGAGTCGTGTTTTGTTTCATTAACACGTGTTTGATTAATCCTTTGTACTGAGTCTCTCAACACCTCCAAAGCTGAAAACGCTCTGTGCCATCATGTGACGCCAGGAAGCAGCAGTTTTCAAGTGAACAGCTCCTTTTACCTTTTGTTCAGTAGAGCTTACAAATTCTAGGTCTGAAATTATCCAAACGATTCTAGTGAAGGTGTATGGAGTTTAAAAACACAATGGAAAAAACACAACTTCAGGTTTGTTTTGATGAGGAAACATTATAACAGATCAAAAAATTGTGTAGTACGGGCTTTTTAAATCCACCTGTCAATCACTCTGACCATAACAGAGGCGGACTAATAGGAGGAGTGGGTTGGGGCATAGAGCTGTATTAAACACCCCCACCCCCGATGTAGATGTAATAGATGTAGGAGAACGTTGAGGCTGGAAAAACTCAGTGAACCAAAGAATAGATTTGTGTAAAAATAGTGAAAGCATTCAGGGGAGCGAGTGAGGACGCAGAGGAGCGGACTAGAGGAGAGGGTCAGTGGGGCAGGGGTCACTTATGATCGGGGGTCAATCGATTGAAACTGAAGCTCCTCGGTGTGTTTCAGAAAACCTGCTCTAATGCTGTAAAGGAGTTAACGACAGGAAGAGAGTGATACCAGACCGGTGGATGCAGTTACATGGATCAATCACACAGTTACTTAGACTCACTTAGGATGAGAAGTATTTATCTGTGTATTTCATTCACTCACAAGTTTAACCATGTGTTTTAAAATGTTATTTTAAAGGAGACATATTATGCTTTTTGGCCAACAGACTAGAACATTATTTCTAGTAAATACCTACAGTTTAAATGATGTGATATTGATAAATTAGTGGAAACACAGTGTGCTCTAATTAGGCTTTGGCCAAAAAATAAAACCTTGATTTTTTAAATTTTTTGCACACAATGGACAATTACAATTTTAATTAATCAAAGTCAGAACAGGGACTGCTCGTCTTTCAAACGAGGAAGCACTTTACATGTTTATTATTCTCATATTCTAAAATAAATAAACCTGCTTTGCAAGTTTGAAAGTCAGGAGTAAACTTGTTTCATAATAATCCTCAATTTCACAATTTAGCAATTTTTTAAAGTCTTGATTATTAAAACCCTGTAGGAGATGATTATCTGCTGCCACTTTAACTGCAGAAATCCATTTCTACGCTCAGTCTGGTCTTTCTTTCTTTGTAAATGTGGTAAAAGGCCCAGGTTTTCTTTTGCCCTTAATCATGTGTACATCACATCCCAACGCTCTACAATAATCCACAGTCTCTGAAACTCCAGTGAAGTTTCTTAATTGTTACGTGGTTAGTTTCTGTGGGTGACCTCAGTGTGGGGTTTGGAGGTGCATGCTGGGATTACATGACGACAACTGCAGGAGCTCAAGGTTAAAAACCAGGTCTAAAACAGGTCTAAAACCAGGTCTAAAACAGGTCTAAAACCAGGTCTAAAACAGGTCTAAAACCAGGTCTAAAACAGGTCTAAAACCAGGTGTAAACAAGGTCTAAAACCAGGACTAAACCAGATCTAAAACCAGGACTAAACCAGAACTAAACATCTCATGTTACAATATCCTAGTCTTTGCTTCTCCACAAGCAAACAAAGTAATCCAAAGTATTCAGATTACGTTACTCACTTTAAGTAATTTAATGGATTATGTTACAAACTACATTTTGGTGTATGTAATCTGTAATCTGTAGGGGAATACATTTTAAAAGTAACACTCCCAACACTGAGAGTGTGTTTGGAGCAGAGTTCAGACTTTGTAGAGAAATCATTGACTATTTCTTGTTTTAAATTGCACATTAGCAGGATTATGTTCATAAAATGACATTGAAATCTGTTTTTTTATGTGTTGAAAAATAGAAAATAAAACTGAATACAAAAACATATAATTACAAAATATATTACAAAATCTATAATAGAGAAAATGTAAATATATGTTTTCTTCTCCATCAGATCCCTCAGGTGAGCTACGCCTCCACCGCCCCAGAACTCAGTGACAACAATCGCTACGACTTCTTCTCACGAGTGGTTCCTCCGGACTCGTACCAGGCCCAGGCCATGCTGGACATCGTGAAGGCTCTGGGCTGGAACTATGTGTCCACTCTGGCCTCTGAGGGCAACTACGGAGAGAGCGGGGTGGACGCCTTCATGCAGATCTCCAGAGAGGCAGGTAGGCACTGGACCAGGAGGCTCTGGGTTCAATCCCCAAGTCATCCAAGTGTATATGTTCTGTTGTTGGTTTTCTGCAGGCCAGTAACATTTAAAGGTCCTGTATTACACAAAGTTGACTCTTGTGAGCTTTTAGCCATGTTAGAAAGTTGTTACCTCATCAAAAACATACCTGGAGTTGTGTTTTGTTTCATTAATAAAATACCAGCTACCTTTAACCTTTTGCTCAGTAGATATGGGCAATTCACGGTCTTAAGGCAAGGCAAGTTTATTTGTATAGCACAATTCGTACACAAAGTAATTCAAAGTGCTTTACAGAATAAGAAATACATTAAAATCATAATAAAAACACATCAAAACATAAATAATCATAAAGATTAAAATTTAAAAAGAGAGACATAAATTAGAGAGAAGAGTGCGGAATGAAAACTTTTCAGTTATATGCACAGTTAAACAGAAATGTTTTGAGGCTGGATTTAAACAGCATCACAGAAGAGTCTGTCTCACATGTTCAGGAAGACTGTTCCAGGTTTTAGCTGAAACGCTGACTCCCCTTGTTTAGTCGTGACTCTGGGCACCACCAGGAGGCCGGTCCCTGAGCTCCTCAGAGTGCGAGATGGTTCATATGACATTAAGGCTGCGTTCAGACTGCAGCCTGAAGTGACCCAAATCCGATTTTTTGGCTTCTATGTGACCTTTATCCGATCTTTTAATGACAGTCTGAAATGACACAGATCAGATTTTTTCAAATGCGACCCAGGACACTTGGATATGTGCTCCTAAAACTGATACATATCTGATCTTTTGACATGCGACTTCAGTGTGAACGGCCAAAGTGCATTCATCCACCTACACGTTATCAACAAGACACAAACGTCACTATTCTGCGCTGAAGTAGGCGAAAATTGTTAATGAACTCCGTGTCACTGAAGTGAAGCACATCACCACTCACCACTCTTGGCTCCGTCTCCACATCCACACGTTCCTTTCAACGGACGTCGCTGCCGCTGCCCCACAAAACACCACGGCCAAAAACCTCGTCCTTCTCCTTCTCAATCTCCTCTTTAAAACAAGTAAGTTGTTCATGTTCTGGCTCCGGTACGAGAGGAACTTTAAAATCTCCAGGTGCTCAATGCTGCGTCCATGTTTGGACAACTTCCATAAACACAGAGAGACGCTCGCTGCGGTTGACGTCGTCGTGTCTCCAGTGCACATGTGGGACACTTTCGGGCCATTTAATGTTCACACTGGAGTCACATACAAGTCACATTTAATTGGAAATGTGAACGACCTCGCAAAAAACATCGGATTTCACAAAAAAAATCGGAATTGAGCGTTAAGCCCTGCAGTCTGAATGTAGCCTGTCATGTCACAGATGTACTTTGGTGCTCGGCCATGGAGAGACTTGTACAAGCAGAGCTGCTGGTCTTAAATCATCCAAATGATTCTGCTAAAGATGTATGGAGTTTAAAAACACAGTGGAGCACTTCTCCTGTTACTACATGACATCACAAGGTGGACGACAGTGTTTTCTGTGTGAGAGATGAACTAAATATACAGGGTTTGTGTGTTAAACATGTGTGAACGAAACAAAACACAACTCCAGGAATGTTTATTGTGACATAACAACATTATAACATAGAGCAGATAATAGTGTAACATGGGCACTTTAATACAGATGGGGCAGTTATAATGAGTATTGTTCAAGATTTAAACACTAGAAACATTTGTGAATTAAATTTGTAGGTATTTCTTATGAGTGTGCCCTGTAATCAAAAGGGAAAACATGGATAATTTTTTTTTGCTTCCTTCAAAATTCTCTAAAAGATTACATATAAAGAATTATTGGTTGAAGTGTCACACAAAATGAGAACGGAACTAAAAATGTGAAAAAAGAGCAGAAATTGTTACATTACATACAGTTAATAAATTACATTTACTATTGAAAATCTGTTAAAATCTAAAAAAGACATCTGTTCAGGAAAGACTCATTCATATCACTGTTTACTTTTTGTGTTGTTCTGATGTGTTACCTGTTGTATTTGTCTTTTAATCCTTTGAAAAGTGTGGCTGAATGATTGTTTATCCTTTGTTGTAAAATCTCTTTCCCCTCTTTCAGGGGGAGTGTGCATTGCTCAGTCTGTGAAAATCCCCCGTGAGCCCACAGCCGGAGAGTTCGACAAAATCATCAAACGCCTGATGGAGACCAGTAACGCCAGAGGAGTCATAATCTTCGCCAATGAGGATGACATCAAGTAAATATAGACAAATACAGAGTTAGATCTAGTTTACAGGGCAATTCAAGTTCATGGATTTGTTCATTTTGTTGTTCAAACTTGTAGTTCTAGTTTGATTAAGGCCAACACTAACCCTAGTAATTACAATTTTGTTATAGATTGTTAGGCGTCTAATATTTATTTTTAATTCAAGAGCTAGGTCACAGTCCACAGACTTTTGTTTCACTCAGGTTGTCCAAGGGTTACACCTGGTCCTGCCCAAGTCTTAAAGGTGACAATTAAGAATTATAGTACAGAATTAAAGTATATGCTGATTAGGGATGGGCATGTTTAATCGATTAATCGATAATTGATCATTAAGAATTTCATCGATTACGTTCATTTTAATCGACAAACCGAATGTAGGTTGTTGTGCGTATCGTGACCAAACAGGTCTGTACATGTGTCTCTCTGCATCAGAAGGAGCGAGACACAAACAGTGGGTCAGTCTGCAACGTACCAAAGCACAAATGCGTATTTACCGATGACTTGTACAAGAAATTCCACACTTTCCGTTGCGTTCGGGACAAGTGTGAGTCCATGTGCACAGTGTATAAAGCAGCACATATGTTTCAGTGTCCAATGGGAAAAAGTTTTTTAAGGTGAGAGTCGCTCAATGTCGGATGACGAGTCCCCACCTCCCTCCCCCCGTACGGTGTCCTGGTTTTGACAAACGCAAATCTGGTCACACTAACCTGTATTCACCTGAGTCATGTCCTTTAATCCGACAGAAGTTGAACCACATCAGCGACACAAGAGCTGTAGTTTTATCTTCGCTGAGTTTATGCAAATTAGCGATGCAGTTTTAAGTTTCGTTTCTGTGAAACTTGCGCAAAACTGAATTAAACACATTATAATGTCAAACGGGCTGATGTGGCTCTAGAGTTGTTACGGTTTATATGTCGTAAAGTTGAATTTATTTATGCAGTTTAGTAGTGCAGATAGTAATAATAATGATGATCATTTTAATATAAAAACGTTAATGATTAATCGATAATCGATCGTTAATTCTTCCGACGATCGATTAAGAAAATTTCATTGAATGCCCATCCCTAATGCTGATACCCGATACCTGCAGAGACTGAAAAAAACACATATTTCCATTAAACAGCTATAAAATAAGAAAGAAACGTTATTTATCTTTAAAGTAACAAACAGAACAACTTATAACTATAAAGAAAGACCATAAATATTCTTATTTCATCAATTTCTTGGCCCAACCAGCATATCGACTGAACCGATATTTAGAAGCCGATATCCAATCCAGCAAGTTTTTCAGTATGTTAATGCTCCTGGACATATGTAAACTGTGCAGGAATCTGAGGAGCCGCAGACAGTTGGGGGTAATTAATTAAGGAATTTTTGTGAATTTTACACATACTATTGCACCAAATTATATAAAAAAAAGAGGAAATAAACTTAAATATGTTTTATTTATTGACAAAGCAAACACAAAACTTAAAGCTTTAGTCTCTAAATCGGTATTGGAACTGAAAAAGCTGCATCTGTGCATCCCACCATCTGAGATTGAAAGATGAACTGTAAAAGAAATACAAGTATCACATAAAAAGACCCCTTGGAAACAGGAGCACCTTTTGCGATTTGCTAATTGCATCCATGGTGTTTTTGGTTGGGCTTTATGTGTTTCTCATTGTGAAATAGTGATAAATCTTCATGTTATTCTATCTGTATTTTATTGTAGAAGAGTCCTGGAGGCGGCGAAGCGCGCCAACCTCACGGGTCACTTCCTGTTCGTGGGTTCGGACAGTTGGGGCGCCAAGAGTTCTCCAGTGTCTGAGCTGGAGGATGTGGCCGAGGGAGCAGTCACCATCCTGCCAAAGAGAGCTTCTATAGACGGTAACAGATAATGATCTCTACAACAGCACAACTCACTCTTATGTAACAGATAAACCCCATGTCCTGTCAATCACCAGATCATATTTGCAGTGTTTTCCTCATGACCTTTGTATATAGTTGAGATATATTTTTATTACTCTATTTCTATTTACTTGTACATATACATTAGGGTCCGGTCAAGTGGTAACGGAGGGAAACAGGGGCAGATTTTTTACATTCAAATGTCTCTTATTCAGAAACTAGAGGGACTATTGAAATAAGTAAAGTATCAGAATGTAGGAAAGAGTTACACTCCAACAGGGGAAAGTTAAACCTGTGATATTCTTTCAAGTTGTTGACAAAAAATTTAAAAACTCATGTCGGTAACGGAGGGAATGAAATATGCAGCACTTTTTGGGCAATAAATCCAAACAGTGATAACTCTTGGTTCTCACTTACATATCCTTAACAAACTGGTTTGAATATTTGCTTCATATAGTTTTCTACCATATGGTACAAGATTAGGTTGAAAAACCTCTTACTTTTTGAGTCATGAGATTTTTTTTTTATTAAGAAAGGTCATGGTAACGGAGGGAAAAGTAACGGAGGGAAAATTGTGCAAACAAGTAGAAGGTGCATGATTTTACATAATTTGTCAACTTTTTTCTTCTGAATACTTTAATATTACTTCAAAATGAAAGGAAACTATTTCTATAAAATATGTCAGTCCTTCCAAGCAAATTTTTATCATTTTAAATACTTTTTTTTTTTTAATCATGTACCTTAATCAACAGTTCACAGATGGAATAACACAAGATATGATGAAATACATCCATTTATTTACATGATTTGCAGGTCTTTGAAATTTGGGAAATAATTTTTGTTCCATGTTTCATACATGGTCTGTTTAAAATGTATGGAACTTTAGAACCAAAAATGGTACAGAAAAAAGGTAAACAGTTTCATAAACTAGAGTACATATGTATCTGTTCAATACATTTTTATATCAGATGCATTAACTTGAATTTTTGACCTTGCTGTTTACTTCTGCTTGACTGGGCCCATTTATATAATTTGCCTTATTTGATCCCAGTTTCTTGCTATTTTTGGGTCTTATTTAGAATTTATTATTATCATTTATATTTTTACTCTTTGTTATTATAATTTACTGTGACGTGTGAGCTACTTTGTTCAAATAATTTCCTTTGTGGATCAATAAATTTTGTCTAAGTCTAAGTTTAAGTAAAACTACACTCAAACTAATGGAACCAGATTTAAAGGTGCACTATGTAACTTTTCTGGTG